TAAAATATGTTGTTTATATGGACTAATAAATCAAAATGTTATATTTTCTATCCTCGCAGTATTGTTAAATTAATCTAATAGTTTATATTAATTTAGTTATCATAGCTCAAGATGTGTCATGACATAAAGGTAACTATTGATGTGTTTGTTCACATTCTCTGCAGGACCTGCTTTGATGACATGATCAGAACTGGGTATGTCAAACAAGTCCTTTTTCCTGCTTATTGTATAGTGGAGTAACATACAGTCTTGTTCCAGCATTGCTGGAGCACCTGATTCTGGCATCAGTCAGTTTGTTTTCATGCGCCCAGCTGGCCAACAACGTTGTCGTGTAGACACTTGGTTGAGTTTAGGCTGTGATGTTGGGTGACCAACGTTCAATGGGATGTCTAATGCCAACATCAGCTTGTCGTAGAATACTAACGACTGAAGACACTGATATGTTGTTGGTTTTAAGTTGTATTATAAGTTACCAAATCTTCCAAACATCTCATGCCACTGTCATCTTGACGGAGAATAACAACATTTAGTCGTAAGGTATGGAGAACAAAACTTAATATCTGCAGAGAGTCACAATGTTAACATCCACACAACATGAAATTCTTTAGTCATTAGACAGTGGAAATACTGTCAACCTGATTTTGATTCTAACCAGAATTTAACATCTGTTCAGCATCTTTCTGACATCATATTGAAGTCCAGAGCCAGCTGGGTAGACAGGGGAATTACTGAGCAAATGGTGAAAGAAGAGATCATCAATGGAGTAATGCATCCTCTTATTTAAAATGATTCCATCCGATGTCTTGGATCTGACACTAAAGCTGGGCATACACTGTACGATTTGAGCTTGTTTCTGACCCATTCTTTGAGCCACACAACTCATTTTAGGGTTTGACTGAATTTCAGCTTTGTAAGGCGTTGTTTGCCGTGCGGTGTACAGGGGGAGTGAGAACCAATCATGGCCTGATGAAGTGCTCCTGACTGGCTGTCGCATGTTTGGTTGTATTTTTTGACACATCATAAATTTTGGTCGGCCATCGTCAGGCTCTTCCACTGTTGAAGCAGAGCCCTGAATCATCTCAGTCAATCACTTATGCAGTGTAACCAGGTAGTTTGTTGGTGCTGCTAACTGACAGACTTGATTTGCAGAAATTGACTTTTAAGTTCTTTCTGGGACCTCTGTCACTACATTATTGTGAACTATACTGATGTAACGTTACCGACCTCCACAGAAAACAAACCTCTACCTGCCTCAGAGCTTTCAAAAAATCTTTATTGATAGTTGTCAATAGTCAGAATGGTCTGCACGGATTGCTGTTTTATTTTTTATTTTACACAGTCAGTGCAAGCACATAAATGGTGAGCTCAGGCATTACATCATGGTTTACTTGTACAGTGGAATAGTTGGAATTAAACAACAATAGTTTTAAAACGGATGTAAATCTTACAGTGTATGCATAGTTTAACACAAAGTTCATTTCCACCACCAACTTTTTGATTTTTTTGTTAAATTGAGACACACTGGCACTATGATTAAAAGCTCTGCTTCATCTGTGTGCTGTCACTCTGCTCGAACACATACACACACAAAGTCAGGTCTGGGGTAGGTGATGAGTCTGATCACTGACATGCTGCATGTATACATGGATTTACAGTACCCAGGTTACTACAGTGCACATAAAGGTAAGGTGGAGTAAGACCTTCCACTCAATGTCTTTTTCTTTCTCATTTGTTTCAGAGCATATCGCTGCCCCCTGTGTATGCACTCTGCCTGGGGTATGGAGCACCACTGGGAGCAGATAGACAAAGAGATTGCCCAGTCACCAATGCCCACTGAATACCAGGGTACTACTGTCAAAGTAAGACCTCAATAAAGCAATAAATTACACATGTAATATTTGAGTGTAGTTAAAAGAAGGGTTGAATTAATGATACATCAGAATCTCATTTTTTGACACAACATGTCCAATTTTACATTGAATTCAGTCCAGTTTGTATAATTAGATAAACAGGCCTTGGTGGCTGTTATGAGTACTCATCCGGTTGGTTGTCTGTATATGTAATCTATTACTTTTGCTCTTCCTCACTACAGATTATATGTAACGACTGCCAAACCCACTGCACGGTGCCTTTCCATGTGCTGGGGATGAAGTGCAGTGGCTGTGGCTCCTACAACACAGCACAGGATGGCGGACTCATCCAACAGCAGACAGAACAGGACACTCAGCATGAGGCAGAGACAGACACAGAGCCAGAGCAGCAAGCTCAACCTCAGTCACCTACGCCACAGTAAAACTGCAGCCAACCACACTGGGTGACATTTGTGCTGTAGATGTTTGGCTGGTGCACTTACTTGTACTAACTTACATTGAGTGTAAAAGTAGACTGAGCCAGTATTGCTAGATTGTACATATTACAAAAATCCATCTATTTTCTGTACCTGCTTATCCTCTTTAGGGCTGGAACCCAATCCAGCATGCACTGGGTGAGATGAAGGGTGTCAGGCTATCACAGGACTAACACACAGTCACACTTACGGGCAATTTGAAGTCATAGCCCATCTGACCACCCAGAAAGTTGTTGCGGGGGGTTGACAGTCAATCCATACAGCCACTGTGTGGCACCATAACAAAAATGAAGGTTGTACAGTATCAGACCAGTTGTGATTGTTTTCTGTTAAGTTCAGGGACTGTGGTGTGCATCCTATTTACTGTAAATGCCCTCAGCAAGACGTGTCAGTTTGTTATATATACAGTACCTTATTTGTTAATTTGTCAAACACAAATAGAAATTAAAATTAGCCTCAGGCAGAGTACAGCGTGACTAACACAGTAGTCTGTACGCTAACTGGCCTACTGGCAGCATAGCACTAGGTACTGTGCATTTCAGGTGCGAATTATTTAAATAAAATTCAGGACTGTAAAAGTGGAGCCCTCACGCAGGGCGTTTCAAATGGATCAAGGAATCATGCAGATATCTAGAGAGATTCACTGGACATATGTGCAAAAAATTCCAAAAAGGTGCCTGTGCGGATTATGCCCCTGCATGTCTTTTTTTATTTTGCATAGATGTCCTGTCAGTCAAAGATTAAACAGACAGCATCTTTCTAAATTTTTGTCACACTCTTGGTCATGTCTTATTATTATTATTAATTAACGCTACAAGTGAAATTTATAAATTCCTGTCACAGTGCTGATCAAATTCTTGTTTCAAGTTGCACACTGCGAGCAAAAAAAGGATTGCCCCGCAAAAAATATTCAGAACACGGGTTGAGAACAAAATGACTGACAGCTTCCTGATTTCTTTTTGTCTTTTTTCATCTAATAAGTTATTCTTTTTTTTTTTTTAAAGGTGAAGTATAACAGACCAGTACTCTTGATTTATGATGAGATTTTTTTTTTATTTATTTTTTTGTTAACTGACAAGTCAACTAATTCTGTTACGTATGTAAATGCACATGTAATTTAGATAGTCTAAAAAATTACTGATTGGGCCTTTTTAACCTGCTCATTTTTCTAACGCCAGCATAGAAGATGACGTTATGCTCTGTGGCTTTGGAAATAAGTCTTGCCTGATTGTTATGATGACATAATTACAGCTGCAACACATGCACTGATTGACTGTTTCCTTCTCATACATGCAATACTGTAATTTCTGGTACGGCTGCTGTGACATGAGGACTGTGACTCTGGTACTATTTGCTTTTTGTGTCTTTGTTAATTGCAGATGTAAATTTGGTTACCTTTACAATGACACTAATACAGACTCCCAATAAACAACATCATTTTACTGAAACACTCTTGTGTTGTCTCCTGAACCAATAATTGAGTTAGAGATAATAACATTTAATCACATTATTCACAGCTGCTCACATGAATACATTTGAGATGTTATATTTCCATTTCATTTGTATAGCAGTCATGTACATTAGCACCATTATAACAAATTAACTACGAATGAAGGGAATGCACATCAAGTCAGGCACACTCTGGATATCTGAACCTGATAGTACAATGATAAAGTATCAAGACAACACTAAAGCCTAAACCTAATATAGAACTACAACTGAAATGGATAACTGTTACTGACAGGGTCAAATGCTGTCTCCTCTAGGTGGCTCTGGCTCAGTGGTTGCAAACTGGAAAGTGAAACAAACAGGAACACCAGTCAGAGCGGTGCCAATGGGGATTGGCAGGGGTGGGGCTCTGTGGAATGGTGGAGGTGTTGGTTTGATTATATGTGGAGGAAAGGGTGGAGTGGCACCCTGGGGGAATCTCTGGTATGTGGTGATGGTGGTTGTGGTGGTGGTAACTTGTGGTTGATCTGTGCCACCAACAGCTATGACTGTATCTGTAAGCCCTGGGTGTCGTGAGACCTCTGTATGTGGTAGACCTTGCACATTGTCAGTGTTAGGCGAGTCCTGTGCTGGATCAGAATCAGGCATGTCCTGAGGATAGTCTACACCCAGAGCAGTTTGCGATGGATCATCTGGCATGAGTTGTAAAGGCACTGTGTCAGTGGAGGTTTGTGGGTCCTTGGGGTTTGGCAGGGCTGGGGTATCAGGTGTAGCTGGGGAAGGTCCTGGGTCTGCAGAGGGAAGTAGGGCTGCAGCATCCGGGGAGTTCGTCTCTTCAATGGCATTAGGCATGTCTGTCTCTGTGAACGCTGGCTGCAGGGGCTCCTGTGAAGGCTCGACGTGAGTGGCAGTCTCCTCTGATGAGTCTGCCTCACTGGACTCTGATGAATCCTCACAGTCACTTACACAGACCTGTTTTTGAAACAAGGAATGTTCTTAATATTTGTCACAGGTCTTCTTTAGATTGCTTTACAGCTAGGCAAGTATGTATAAAATGCTCAACACTCCAATATACTGATAAAAAATAAAAAATATAAGGTGTTGCCATAGCCCAACAGAGGTCATTGCTTGACTGCTGTGAGTGAGTCTGTACACTCGGTGTCAAACACTGTACAGTCTCTCTGATTCATTACTTTCAAATGTCTTAAAAAGTGAAAACCTAGAATGAAATATGAGTGTTATGTCGGCTATATCACTGTCGATTGTTATAGTTTTTGTATAGTGTTAGTATGTCATAAAAAATCATAGTATGTCATAGAAGGTAATTATAAAAGTCATAGTATAATGTATCATAAGATAGTCATAGTGTATAAACTTTTCCTGTGAACCAGTTACTGTAAATGCTGGCTCCGTAAAATGGAGCTCAGTCATCAGAACTTTAAGAACTGAACAAAGATTTTTGTTCAAATTCTGTAAAGTTTCTAAAAATTTCTCCCAAGTGGAATTCCCACCAGACCCCTCTAGAGGACTGGGTCGCAGAAGGTGTTGATTGAAAATGGTTTCCAATGTAAAACAGGTGATTACAGCCCTGCTTTATAGTGGATGTAGCAATAGTGGAGCTACTCACTGGTTTGGACAGCACCAGAGTCGCCATGAAGGCAGCACAAAGCGTAATCCGCAGAACTGCCATGGTTGTCATTACTGAAACAAAAAAGCAAGACCTATATTTTTAAAGTGGTGCATCTACTCCATATTTCAGACAGAAATATTGTACTTTCATTTACCTGACAGCTACATTTACTAGTTATTTTGCATATTTTTCATATCATTCTTCATACAACACATACAATCAGGTTGTTAGATGCATTTTTCAGTGAAAAGAAACTCCCTCTAATGAAGTCATTTTAGTCTGGAATTCAAACTGAAATATATTTTTTTCCATTAAACAAGTGAAAAGTAATCTGCACGTGAGGTAGGAATATGTCAACACCTTTTCAAAGCAAATACACTTGTTTCACGAGAAAAAAGAAAAGGCAAATTAAAATGGTCGAGCTACTTTGCAAAAAAGCTTTTAGGACTAGATTATAGACAGAAATGTCTGAATAATTAGGTAAAACCAGCTAAAAAAAATGCACATGAAAGCATCTATTAAGAAATCTCTTACAATAAACTGTAATCTTTGCATGAGCTACAAACAAGTATCAACAACAGTGAAATATTAGATAATACTCCTGCTTCAAAACCTACCTTGTTATGCTGAGTATCCTCTTGTGCCTTCAGACACAGCAGACTCTCTCTGAAATGTCTCAACTTTGACAAAAGCAGTACAAGAAATGCTCATTTCTTCTCACTCCTGCATTGGACATGTTTTTATATGGCTGCTGGCATGTGTGGGTACAATAAATCAATAAATTATCATCTGGTTCACGTCCTTAGCGTTACTGACTTCAGCCCTGACTCACTAACAATTCAAACTAAATCATTAATCCCCCAGACACGGCTAAATTAGAGGGTGCTAAATATTGTCAGAGGATAATAAGAGAATAAGTACACAAGAAGGCCCTATTCATAAGCAGAGTAAACATGTGTTTTGTGGTTTTAGTGTGAACAATAGGAAGAATCTAGTTTAGACTTTAAATATATGTAATCAGAATTTCATGGTAATGTCCTGTCATGTGCAGTCATTACAGTGACTGCAACAAAAGCCACATCATTCACATCAGATTTTTTTCCTTCCATATCCTTAGTTTGCTAAAGTATCCACTAGTTCCATTGCTTTTCTTTCAGCAGTCAATGAAATAAATCCCTTGTTCACAGAAACAAATATCGATTTCCACTAAAGCAGGGGTGTCCAAAGTCCGGCCCGGTTGACTTTCAAAATATATTACATGTGGCCCGCCACAAAATATTGGTCAAACAAGCAAGATCACTTTGCATTTTATCTCTTCACCTCACAATGCTGACCACATATAATGAGGAACTATCATACAGTTTGTAGATATGCATCAAATGGGAAGTATGCAGGCAGAACTAATGTGTTTTCATAATTAGACAGTAAACAAGAAAACAGAACAGTTACCTAACAACAGACATTTCCTATAGCAGACATGGCCACGGCAAAGAAGCATAAATTCGACAGCGAAGACCACCACTTTTAGAAGCCATGGAAGGTTGAATACATTTTTACTGAAAGATGGTGCAGCAGTAGCTCAGTCCATAGGGGCTTAGGTTGGGAAGTGGTGAGTAACCGGCTCAAGTCCCCATCCAGACTGAGTATGGAACATGGACTGGTGGCTGGAGAGGTGCCAGTCCGCCTCCTGGGCACTGCCAAGATGCCCTTGTACAAGGCACCAAACCCCCAATTGAACCCCAACAGCCCCCTCACCGTGACATCCCTCCATTTAATGCATGTATAGTTCCTATTTGTGCATGTGTGTGTATTTTAGGCCTGTGTGTTCATGACAACAGAATGAAAGAATTGAATTTCCCCTCAGGGATTAATAACAAAGTATATCTTCCTCTTCTTCTTAAAACAGTTACATGTGTCTCGTTTGATTGTATTTTTTTAATAACCTATATGATGTGAGAAGCAGCTGGCCCCCTGGCATTTTTACATTATCTAATCTGGCCCCCCTTCAAAAAGTTCTGGACACCCTGCACTAAAGTAACAAACCCTCCTAAATTCCCATCAGCTACACGTCCCCATGTTTACATTTATTCTCACAATTAACTATTACAGTCAATAAAGAAGACACATCTTCACCAAATGTGTAAGTCAGGAATGGGAGCATCAAAGCAGTGGACTTAAAGGCCTCACACACACACACATACACACACACACACACACACACAAACACACACACACACACACACTAACACAAGTGTTTGTAATGTCCATGTGCATGTATTGATAATAATGATAAATATATAACTTGTCCACCCTAAAAGGGGCGAAAGAGTTAATAGGAGGTTAAGGGAGATGTCAGTAAAGCACAGTCTGGAAACACCACAGTGCTCCAATCAGCCAAAAATAAATATCACATGTGTAGGTTTACATGGCTGTGCGGGTCTTTATCATCACTCATCATCATCACAATATCACATGCAAAATGTACTCGAAAGTATCAAAAGTAATAGCACTCATACTCTCTTTATCACAGGATTTTTGTCATTGATTATAGGTAAGCAGCATTTTCACTGCACAGAAACATGGACTCATCTATCCAAGCCAGTAGAGAGCGCTGTTGTGTTGTGTTTACATGTGAACGACCCAGTTTCAGGATGTGTCTGTGCCAAAGTTACTTCATGTTGGGACTGTTGTTTACACACACTGTTTCTGTGCTGAGCATGTAGAGAACAGCATTGTGACAACTTTTCATAATCAGTATCCTCTTCAGAACTCACTGCTGAAACCATACTTTTAGTTAGAAGGTGTTTTTATAATGTATGTTTGTTTAATTTAAGAGAATTAGTTTGCCTGTGTGTATTTTTTTAATTTTTTTATTTTATATACTTTATTAATCCCCAAGGGGAAATTCAACTTTTTTTTTTTTTTGATATATTAGGGTTAGGAGTGTGGGATAGAAATCCCCTCTCCAGCAATGGAGAGAGGATGGTGCACGGTCCATCACTTCCAGGACATTCCCTTCCATGCTGACCCCCTGGTACCACCACCCTAAGGTGGTGGGTTTTCAAAAAATTAGGCTAAGAGCCTTAATATAGTCGGGTCAGGGTTAGGGTTAGGGTTAGGTATGTGTGTATGCAGGTTGATATATGTATGCTGCATGATGCATAGCCTATGTAACATGCAGTGGTGTAAGAAGTACCCAGATTCTTTTTACCTGAGTAAAAGTACCAGTAGCACAGTGTAAAAATACTCCATAGTCCTTCAAGTAGTACTTTCACTGAAGTAGCACTTATGTAAAAGTACAGAGATATTATCAGCAAAATTTACTTAAAATATCAAAAGTAAAGTACTACTTCCACAGAAAATTAGCCTGGTGACTGACACATTATCATAAGTCATACTTTATTTTCAGATTGTTAAAGGTCCAGTGTGAAAGATTCAGTGGCATCTAGCTGTGAGGTTGCAGAAGTGGAACTTCACTGATGTGCTAAGCATGTAGGAGAATTGTGTTGGGGTCTGTTCTGGGCTACTGTAGAACAACATGGCGGACTGAAGAAGAGGACCTAATGTGTATGTCGGTACAGCTCATTCTGAGGTAAGGAAAACACAGTGATTCTTAGTTTCAGGTGATGAAAACATAGTTATTTGTATTATATTTCATGTCTGCCAGAGATGCCCCTAAATTCTACACACTGGACCTTTAATACTGTAAATGACTGTGTGAATAGCATTTTATCCCTGTAGATGGTAAAAGTGCAGCTACTAATACTATTACTACTATTTCATATACAGTGAGTTTAGTCCAGCGATTTCCAGCCTAGAAGTCAGACCACCTGCAAAGGTCACAGGATAATTTAGGGGGTTGTTAGATGAGTGTGGTCGGAAGGAAGAATAAAAAGTGCTGTGACACAGATCTGTATTTTTTTATAGCAGGGGCGTAAATATAGACAATGCAGACAGTGCAGAGAGTGCAGACAGTGCAGAGAGTGCAGACAGTGCGGTTGCACTGAGGCCCGTGAAGTGGGTGGTCCATAGAGAGAGTGGGCCCTCCAACAATGTGTTGGGTGAAGAATGGGCCCTTATGAGTGATTGCCAAAGAACTGTCATTTAAATGAAAAACAGTGCCATTTGCTATATATGCCCTTGAAAAAGGCAAAACCACCGTAGTCATACATATATATATGTATATATATATATATATATATATATATACATAGTAAAATAGTCTGTAGCATCAAATTATATGCTTATTCCAAATAAGCTATAATAAATTAATAAAACTGTTAAATGTTGGTATTTTTGTGTCATATACAGATGTGCAGTGATGATTGGTTGGTAATATGTATGTTGAAGTTATCCAGTGTCAAGTATCTGATCATGTGACAAGACAATATGTGAACAATGGCATGAGCTAGGACCCCTCACAACTACCTTACACCTCTGTTCATAGTATCAATTTTTTTCTTTCTTGCGAAAGTTTGTGGGAGTTTTACCTCTTTGGGCCTCAAACAGTCATGTAAATTAATTCATGTGAGAAGTTTTGAGGGGAATCGCTCTTTAATGGAGCTGCTAACAACTCAAAGACATCTGTAATGTGACAAGAGGCCCCAACAAGACATTGTTTTATTATAAGATGTCCCAAGCCAAAATTATTAGGGCATCCTAGGATATCATGCGTTCATTTTGTAAAATTTTCATCTGACAGGAACTAGAAACTAGCTGTCCAGTGACTGTAGCGGAATTAATATTGTGAGCGCAAGCACCTCAAAATTGTACCTATATGTTCTTAATGATATTCTACCACTGGTATCATGTTGTATGGATATCTTTTACTTTTCATTTTTCTTATTAAGCACTTTTTTATCATTGGTTTTGATGAGATGCTACATAAATAAGCTACTGTTATAATTGCCATATGAGTATTTTACGGCCTATTTGCCCACCTGTTGATATTTTGACTATGTTTGTGTCGATGTCTTTGTTATCACTCATCTCCAGAGAAACACGTCCTTTGCTTTCACGGTTTTGTGTGAAGGATCAGCAAACTAGATGCCAGAGAATGCAAACATAATGTACAAGTTGTGCAGCTGATGTTGGTTATTGTTTTTCAAGAGTCACTGACCTTATTCTTTCAGTAAAAGGCCACTGTGAGCATGTTTATAGGCATGTCTTTCAACTGCCCTCACAGATGCTGTGGTGTCTAACAACTTCTCTACGTTGAATCTTTTTTTTTTAATTTCCAAATTCAGCATTTCTTTGTCTTTGATCCACCTTTTTGTTTTTTGTTAAGGAAAGTTGGCAGAAATGAAAAGTTGGAAGTGGACTGGAAAGGAAAGAGGGCAAACTGAATGGGAGAAAACCTTTGAGAGTTAATGTACTCCTTTATCTTTTCTCTCTCTTTCAGTGTAAAACGCTCACTTTCTCTGCCTGGATCACCTTATACCATTCTCAGGTTCAGCCTATCAGCACCTTTTTGTGTAGAGCTCTTGTTACCCCACCCCACCCTTGGGAAGATGGCATTATACTGTATTTGGAAGGGTAACAGAGCTCCCTCTATCTCCCTGAGACATGCCACTGACCTGTAATTAAGTCCCATTGTACTATTCAGAGGAAACTCCTCACCAAAACGGACAGAGGGCAATGTGTGTGGATTTCCAACAGCCCCGATACCGCTGTGACTAATGCTCCACCACACAAGCTGGGTTTATCAAAATGGACCACATGCAGCACACATTAGGGCTCGCATTTTCCCTCTCCAGAGAACTCAAAGCTATGTTGATTGATAATGAGATACAATCCACACTGTCCATCTCTCATTAGAGAGCCATTGCTGGCTGCTTCTGTCTGTGTTCTCACCGCTAGCTCTCTCTCCCTCTTTCTCTGCCTCAGCCTAGTGCCCTCCCCTCCACCCCATCCCCGCCATTCAACCCCATTGATCATGCATGCAGAAATTTAACACACCCCTTAATTCCTGTCCAAATAGCCCCTGTCCCACTTCCAGAGCTTCATCTGCTAGTCTGCAGAGGATAGAGTAGGCCTGTGTGCGGGCAGGACACTGGCTGCAGCACTCAGTGAGGATAAACTGTGGCGGAGAGGACAATTACGAATCTAAATCTGTGCCCAAACATCCTGCATTACACACTCTGAGCTTGTAGCGTTGCTCTGACTGAGTGTGTTACAGGTATGTGTGTATTTAGGAGACATAACCAGCACTATAAGTGTCTCCAAATCTCCAAACTTTGCATTAAACTCTGAACCCTGGGTAGGACAGCACCCATTTTTACACCCACTGCAAGTCAAAGCTGTCTTTGAGTTGCTTCAGCTATTGATTGGCCTTAACATTGGTTAGCGGGTCACATGTTGAGTCAGTGTTGAGAAGATTAGCTGGAGCTGGCTTTGGTACTAATTAAATACTTAAACCCCAGCAATGAATGAGCACACAACACACAAACCTCCTGTTATACCACATCACATAAGCCGGTTTGCAGTATGGCAGCATGTATTAAGACAAACACATTGGTGCTGATGATAGCCAGACTGAGAACACTGATACAAATAAAGTCTCCACAGAAATTCACTTAAAATGACTTAACAAAAAACCCATTGGTGAATTGAAAAGGTTAGTGAAATTATAGTTAATGAATTAGTTAACAGTCAGTGATAACAGAGGGGTGAAAAATACAATAAAGTAATTATGCAGCACATTATAAGGGCCTCTGGGTGTATTAAAGGAGCAGTACAACTCCATATTAGAGAAACATTGGCTTCATGACTTAGTGGTATTTTAGTCTGTTAGTAGAATTGAGGATTGATAAGTAAATCCTTAACCGACTGTTGGCAGTAAACTTATTCAATTTGTGGCTTCACTAACTTTTCTATGGAAACTGTATAAAGACAACACATTTGTAGAGTCGACTACAACATGGCCTGTTATCAGTAAAAGTTGTGTGTTTTACCAGATTAAATTAATGGCACATGATATTAATTTCCTCAAAAACCAAAAATGCCGTTTACATCCACATGTGGTGTGTCACAATGTGTCATATTTTTTTCCAGACTTTCTTCATTTAGAGGACCTCTCAAAAATGACTATAGTACAAATGCAGATTGGTCCCTGTGACTGTAAATTGTGCTGTTCACACTTTATTGAAACGAGGGCGGAAATTGCATCAAGTTGATTAAAATCAGCCAGAATGAGACAGGAAGTTATGAGATTGTGCCTTCATAATAAAGGCGTAATGTTTGTCACTTAGGGAAAGAAAACTGTAGTTGAAAACTTAAGGCTGTCCGATTCAGCTTTAGATTACCTATGGTTAGGATTTTCTGATGTTTTATTAGCCTCCATGATCTTATTTGACATCTCATAGGCCGAGCTGTTTTGCAAGTGTGATGTTTCCTTTCTGTTCAATCAGGTAAAGCTCCAAAATGCCTTTATAAATAACCAGTTATTAGTATTAATAAGTTACTTTTTAAATCAAATTTCATCATAAGAATAATATTTATGGGGGCGTCGGTGGCTTAGTGGATAGAGCAGGTGCCCCATGTACAAGGCCGTTGCTGCAGCGGCCCAGGTTTGACTCCAGCCTGTGGCCCTTTGCTGCATGTCATTCCCTCTCTCTCCTCTCTCCCCCCTTCATGCTTGACTGTCCTATCAATTAAAGGCTAAAATGCCCTAAAAATATATATCTAAGAATAATATTTATGAACTATATTATGTAGATAATAAGAAGGGTTTGCGGGTTATGATTTGATTTTTTTTTTTTTTACATTTCCCACATACATAGGCTAAATAAGACTGTGCTTCACCTAAAGCTGGTATTATTTCCAACACTGACATAAAATTATATGGATTTGGTGCGTTCGCTCCTCATCTATAAATTCAGTCTAAAGATTGTCAATGTAAGACATTTTTATTTTTAAGGCTTGCAGCCAGAGTGTGAGACTAAAAGTTCATCCCAGGAAAGACGAGCCCTCTACTAACCAAACACAACCGAATCACTCAGAACAGGAAATACCCAATATAAATAGGTCTTTATTTATTGATTAGTGGAATGGAATTATGCATTGGTTTGATATGATAGGCCTAAGTTGTTTCATTACAGTTAGTTACCTAATTTCAGCTAAACAAAAATCAACACTGAAATTAAATGGACTGATGCTAACTCCCAGATTGCTCTGAAATATTTAAGCAGTAGCGAAATCCAGAATTTTTTTAAATTGTGCATGCATTTGGGCACTCTCAGTTGATATGATCCGCTATTGCCTGTCACTTTTCATAAATATCAGTGATCAAAATACATTGTTTTTACATTATTCTATAGACTGTACAAGTAGCTACTACCCCAAGGCTGTAGGCACAGAGTTAACATAGGCCATTATATTATATATGATATTATATATTAGGTATCATAAGTAAGTATGGCTATACAGTATACTCTACTACTCTGTACATAAAGCATACATATGCAGCATAACCTAAGTGGCTGACACATCAACACTAGTATTACATTCTAATCTCATTACTTTTTAACGCATTAAAATGTGGCATTGATTGACAGTGATTGTAATTACTTACAGCAATCTGACAATGGCTTCTGCTGGGCTACAGCATCAACGCTTGGACAAACCACACACAGAACAGCCATACACTGTGATACTAGAAACAGTAGTCATAATAAGGGACTGTTTGTTACTTGTGATTGAGTGCAAAAAGGGGAAGGCATGTAAAATATTTTTTTAGGCACTGGGGAGGGACTTTTGCATTTTTTATTTTGGCTTCAGCGAGAAGCGTACAAATTTAAATTGATGTATTTTGTACTCACGTTACCACAGATTTTTTTTAAAGAAAAGATGCCCACCCATCTGCAGGCAGGTTTGGAAGGCATGCACACCATATCCAGAAACTGTAAAAATTTCCAACAGTCCTTGGACACATCATGTGTGATGAAGAAACCATAACCAAATCTAAGTCTCATTTAAAATTTGGCCAAAATTAAACTATTTGCATGAACTAACCAGCATGCACATCAAGAGTGAAGGCTTTTTTTCAACCCCAGAATTTTGTCTTGAACTTTTAACTTTGATTTTAAACATCAAAGCGTAAGTTTTAAAAATCTAATGACTGATTCATATTTGTAGCTTCAGGGAAGGTAAAAACAACAACAACAAAAGATGGAGTCACTCCTCAGCCACCCCCTTCCTCTCATAACGACCAGTCCCTTATGAAAACCCTGTGTCCACATATGAGGACATCACATTTTGGGTTTACTTGACCTTATACTTCATTCTACTTAACTTAGACCTGTTGTCCTAGTTTGTGGACTCGTTTTTGTGCCACCAGTAAGAGCACAATACACCAATCCATGTAGGCTAAAAGCAAGATGGCAGCCATTTCTGCCAAGTCAGTCTCCATCTGATCCTGACACAAAAGGTCCAAAACCTGATCACATATTATGGTTGAAACTTGTTTAGTTATGATTAATAATGTTTGTCGCTTGATATGGCAACAATTTTACCAATTTTAGCAACAGTAACAGGTTGAGACCCTGTTAATTAGGAAGTACTGGTTTGAAGACATTGGGACATTATTATCGTCTCGTTTGAGGACATTGGGACTTTGTTGTTGCTGACAATGTATAGTGTTGTATACTTATCGGGTCCTATTGATGCTAAATAGCTAAGAGAAATTAAAAATGCATACAAATTAAAAGTTCAGGTCTTAGGAGAATCACGCCACCAGGTTTTTATTTTGAAAGGCTGCAGCGGAAGCGCCGTGGTCGGTCACTGTTGCTTTGACGGCGCAGCCGCGTGCCCCGGTGGTGGGATGAGAGAGAGACAGCAGCGGGACCGAGTGACTGGAGGAGGAGGTGGAGTCTGTCCCAGCCTGCATCTGGCCCGCTCCCCTCTCTGTCACCCCGGGCCAAACCCGCCCAGCTCCTCTCACTCACTCTCCGCCTGTTCTCCCGCACGGCTCGGCTCGGACGCACGCAGCACTCACTCACAACACACAGCGAGGACCCGGAATGGAGACGGAAGGGAGCCAGAGCAGCCTGTCCACCACGGACTCCCCTCACGACCCCTGGTAACGAAAAAACTTTTTATGAGCAAACTCTCTTTCCACCTTCTGCTCCCACACCTCAGGAACAGACCGGGTATTCTGCGAGGGGACTGTGGGCTGCAGCCAGACGCACACACACACACCTCCACACAGAGAGCCTTCATGTTAAATCAGAGATGATACACTCTCTAATTCTGTCTTTGCCTCCAGGATTACACTTTTAAAACCTCAACAACAACTTTGTCTTACTGTGCAAGCCCTTAAATATCAAACTCACTAAATCCTCCTTTGGTGAATATGTGAATATCTTATATTTTCTCTTTTTTCCCCACAGCAAAATGTTCATAGGTGGACTCAGCTGGCAAACAACACAAGGTAAATCTTTTTCCACCACTTATTGCTCTCACAAAATGCCACTATGTCTTTAAAACTCCTGGCGTGGATCAGGTTTAACTAAATGAAACTCATTTGAAAAGCTGTATTTCTTAATATTTCTGTTTGTTTACATTGAAGTTGTTTATTTGTGTTCTCTTTTTTCTGAGTTTTGAGTTTGAATCCTGCTCCAGAATGAATGCACCCATTCACAGCCACCATAGCATGAATGAGTGATTCTTAAAAGCTTATTAAAAAGGGTTAAATTATACTGTTCAGTTTGTATTAAGATGAGAATTTTTAGTTGGAATTATTATTATGCACTTTATAGTTTTTTGAGTCCTGGTGACAGGTGATTATACGTCTGACACATTTAATTGAAATATGTATGAGGTTTGGTGAGAGAAATCTCAGCAGAGAGGGGAAAGTTGGACTCTCTGCAGTTGAACCCTTTGCTGAATTTTTATCACAAAGTTGTCACTTACTGTCAACATTCTGTTTGACAAATTAATGTGTCTCCTCTCCATCTTGTTTTGTCCCCCAGAGGGTTTGAAGGAGTACTTCTGCAAGTACGGCGAGGTGAAGGAGTGTATGGTGATGCGAGATCCGGTTACTAAGCGCTCGAGGTGAGGGAGCTGTGAGGCCGGCTTCTCCGCCGGAGCTGAAAGTTTATCTGACCTCCGTGATTCCTCGCTGCTCATGAAGTATCATTACATGTCAACATCAGTTTCTGTGTCATTAATACCCTCTCCCCCCTCCCCTGGTGTCTGCAGAGGGTTTGGATTCGTCACCTTTGTTGATCAGGCCGGCGTGGATAAAGTTTTGGCCCAAACCAGGCACGAGCTGGACTCAAAAACAGTGAGTTCTCTGTATTTACTTCCCACCACCGGCTAATCCCATTGCTCAGTGTTTGATTAGTGGATTTTCCAATAATCCGCTAGAGAGGTGTATCATTGCTACATTTTAGTATGTTTACTAAAGTTCCACTATGCTGATGTTTTTCTCAAACCACACCTCAGATGTGACCACTTTACATGATTAAGTCAGCCGTCGACGGTGGAGACACATGGGAGAATGTGCTCTCTCTTCGCTCTTCAGCCTAACACACAAGAAAATGTTACCCAGTGTCAATTTCCATAGAAACAAGGGGAACCGGACAGGGTTGCTCTCACTGCCAGGCTTTGATTTGGTTTCTAGGAAGAGCGGACCAAAACTTTCTCTGCTTTTTTTTCTGTCCCAAGGGGTAGAATTGACCCCAAAAAGTTTCTGTATGGAAGCAGCAAATGCAACCTGAAACCATCAAGGTGTGAAAGCAGCAGCTCCTCACAGCTTCCTGTTGATCTCAGGGAGAATAAAACTGTGAATGTAGTGCTGATAAAGCCAGGCCCTTTCACCTATGTGAATTGTAACTTAAAATGCATTAATCGCCTGTGTTGCAGTGTGTGTGTGTGTGTGTGTGTGTGTGTGTGTGTGTGTGTCTTTTTGTCAGTAATGAATGTGGGCTGGTCTGGGAACAATGTGGCCCGTTGGTCGCCATAGGGACCACTGCCCCCGCCTCTCTCCTCTGTGGGAGTGGTGATGGCTGCTGGTTAGTCACTGTATTGAAATGAGGGGAGGCTATTTCTTCTTTCCCCTTTTGTGCTCCGAGCGATGCACCTTCTCGAATCTTTGGAGGATAAGTGGAGGAGCTGAAGTAGGAAATGGAGAGCGGAAACAAATGGTGGTTTGCTGTAAAAAGTTACAAGGAAATGAGAAATTTTCATTAATATGAATCCAGAATTAGGAAGAGTGGAAGTTGTTTGATAGAGAAGTTTATCTGTATTTTTTCCATGGTTTCCCAAGTGCCCTGCTGCTGTAGTGTCACTTGCAGGCACAACAGCTCTGACAAGTAGCGGCATCATGGTTGGACGCCACTAACTCGCCATGGGGTTTGTTTCCATAGTGACCCCCCCCCCTCCCCATCCACAGTTGAAGAATGGCTCTGTCACAAAAGAATAAAAAGGAAGATAACAATGCACATCATTTACAATCATTTCTTGGATACCAGAAATCAAGACGGCGTAAACAGTCACAGATAGTGGAGCGGGGGCCGTGGTGCTGACAGTTTATCCTCACGTCCCCTCTCCTGCTATAAGCAACTTATTAAGTGTATTTCCTCCAGAGATGATTTCCCCTATTTAATTTCTCCTCTAAACTTGTGTATGTGTAAACTCCGCACAGCCTCGCGGGCTGTGGCAAGGCCTCTTGTGGCTGGCAGTTGGGTGTGTCGTGGCGTTTGGTGGGGGCTGTGGCAGCCTCAGAGAGTGTGTGCTTGGCGTGGAGAGGGCTCAGTGATCAGCCACAGGGGTTGGATGGTGAGTAGAGTAGGCCTTTTTAGACAACTCACCCTGCCCCCCTCTCCCTCTCTCTCATGCTAACAGGTTATCCTGTTAGAGAGGGGAGAGAAAAGTTCTCCAGTGGCAACAGAAAGAATGTGCCATGCTGTGACGGACTGAACCGCTCCGGCGCTGGAATTAACAGAGCTTTGCACAGCCCAGAGGCTAAAGAGCAAATACAGTGCTGCAGAGGAATTTATTGGTACTTATTGTGTTGAAGGACAGATGCTGCCCGGTTCTGACCAGCATAGGACGGGGAGTTTTACTGTGATTTATGTAACTGCTGCTCTGTTAGTTGCCCCTTTGGGTGCCCTCCCAGCTTCCTGCTATCTGTAAAGTTAGTGACGGCTGATGCAAACTGCACGTTTGTGGGACAAAGTTTCCATTCAATTGCAGCTCCAAGGTGCACAGTGGAGAGTTTTACAACAAAGTCACACAGCTCTTTGCAGAGTTGCATCAGGCCTGTTTGCGGCCCCCGTTAACCATTTCCATGCTGACTTGAGTAGAAAGAAAGAAGAGGGGGGAAGGTGGGATAACTCTGTCTGTGATTAGTATGGCTCTCCTAACTAATAGGATTGGAGTCAACAAGCTTGAGTTGTTCCTTAGAGATGTCGAGTGCTGCCCAATGGGCGCGTTGCGTTAAGTGCGTTCCCAGCTCAGGCTGTGACAGGCAGCGAGCTTGGCCAACTGTTGCATAGCTGGGATGTAGTTGGTTAAAGGGGATTGCCCTGATTTCATAAACCTCTCTTGGAATTATGTTCAGCCTCTTCCCGGTTACCTCACTGTGAGTGCAGAGAGGTTAGGCCTCTGCCCAAAAAACGCCTCTGATACCTTTAAGTGACTTAACATGTCTTTGTGTAGGACAAAGTGTCATTTTGTAAGTTTAAGACCCCCTCCAGACATGTTTCATGACATATAAAAAAAAGCACTGTCAGTATTTTGTGTCTGATGTTTTATTTACAAAAAAAGTTCAAATACCTCATTTAAAATTCTTAAAATTAGTTACTGCTTCTACCTCATTGAAAAATTCATAATCTACTAATATGCAGATTTGTTTTAAAAGTTTAACTGCTGGACATAAGAAGTCTCACAAAAAAGGCCTGTCTCTGTGTTGGAGGTTGCAACTTTCCATAACACACTGGTGTAAGTTGCATACTGGGCCACAATCGGCTGCCAGACTAGTTGTGATGCCATAAATGATGCTCATATGTCAAGGTCATAAACTCAGATTTTAGGTAAGTACAAAAGAGACATCTCCCCTCATCAGATGACTGCACTCTTGTTTCCACTTGGTGTTAACATGCATCTGGGATGATCTGATCACATGTGAACAGCTCTCCGTTTACACCTGGCACTAGAATTGTCTCATCATGCGTCTTGAGTGACCACTTGTAATCAGACTTCATTTCCCTGCTCTACATGCAAATAAACTTGTACATCATTTACATTTGCAAATACCAAATGCATTGTTTTTAACTGGTGTGAGGCAGCAATGCACATCCTGTGCCCAGTCTGCTGGAAATCAGAGGTTTGGACTTGAGTCACCTGCCTTAGACTCATTCACAGATTTGATGACTATAGATCCAACCTGACAAAATCAATGAATGTGACTTCACTTGGAGCATTTTGACTTGAAAATACTTGATATCTTCCCCAAACTTGTGCTTCGGATCAATTAATTTCCCTACATTTGCATTAAGTAACGTCAATGCTATTCATTCCTGAGTCGATGCTTAATTCCCCTGATTCACTTTGTTTGAAATGAGGTTACTGAGCTCCAGTTAGAAAAATGTATACCAAAGATAACTTTCTTTGCACAGAAAAATTACATGATGGTCAACAAAAACAAATAGCAGTATGCAAACAATGTTGGTTTAAAATTAAAGACAACTTCCAACTTCAGTGGACATTCAAAGTTGCTCAAAGGACAGTAAGGCGAGGCTAATATTAACATAGCAAACTAATGCCTAGAGTTTAGGACTTGGGACTTGTTGACCTGGAACTTAATTCGAAACTTAAGTGCGAAGACTTGAGACTTACTAGTGACTTGAAAAACAATGCCCTGGTCCCACCTCTGTGAAGAAGTTTGTCAAGACCTTGACGTAAGGACAAGATCGAAACACCACAGACAGGGTCTATTCCTTGGCGTGTTTCAGGCAAACCAAATTACCCAAGATGTTTCACATGCTTGCAATAAATCAGTTGTTTTTTGCTATTTAAAACAATGGTGTTGGTGCGCAAATGAGTACATACTTCCACCTACATGAAGGACATCAGCTGAGTAGGGAGTCCTTCACTGTGGCCTTGGACACATTAGGGTAATACTGCTGAAAGAATGAGGCCATATGCAGCCCAGACCGCTTCCGAATGTATTGTGAGCGATCTGTTCTCAAGACACATTCCCCTCGTTCCCACCAAGCAGTCCGGTTCAGTTCAGTTCAGTTCAGTTCATTACACATTAGAACAGCTATTTTTGTGTTTCCATTGACAAAAGTTGTGGATGGTACCAATAGAATCATCCCTCTGTTGAGGTACCTAGCTCAATGACCCGCTAGTAAAAGGTGAAGCTAGAAACACTGCAGTCTGTTTATTGGTCAAGAGAGAATCGTCACTCTTGCTCGACAAGGACTCAATGCACAAACCCAGCATTTTTAAACATCCCATCAATTGCAACAGAGACTGTAACCACTGTAAAGAAACTCTGACAGTGTCAGCATGCAGACATTCATCATCGGTGAAAAGGAAATTACCTTAAGTGCAAACTTGACGAAGCAGTAACGCAGCTATTACTATCTGGTAACAACTCCGCCTACATTTAAGGGTACTATTTGTGTTGGAAATATGAACCAGATCTAGTGTTGTCCGTGTTGAAACCACTCTTATGTCTGGAACCTTCTGTCTACAACGGGCTGGAGACACACAGGGTCAGATTCCGGAGTTAGCCTCCTTCAGGAACCTGATTGCGTTTCATTCGGTGGTGGGAACCTTTTGCGACCTCATGCCTTTGCTGATGCCGTCACCAGCAGGATTCAAACCCTGGACCTTCCGCATGGAAGACTAGTGCTCTAACCCCTACACTAGGAACCGGTTCTAAGGGTACTATACCGAAACTGCTTGGTGAATACGCAGCTAATGAGGATGCACTGGATTCAGTCACATCTGTACTTAAAGCTGTTAACTTATGATCTGATCACCAATGATGCATGTTAATATCAGGTGTAAACAGGGTAAAATAAGAAAACAGCCTTTCAGTGTCCAACTCTGCACAATGAAGCTCAAACATCCTGGTGAAGTGACATTTCTGAGCATAGGGGACTTTAAATACATCTTTTGACTTTGCTTTGATCAGCCTTCTCCCCCCCATGAAACAAAGCGATCTCATGAATACAGCCACTTTATCTGTTTAATTTCCACAATTTCCTCCCCACGGATGTGCTGTGTGCTGCCATGTGTTTGATTTTGTTTGTTTGTGTGTGTGTCTGTTTGTTTTTGAATGTGCACAGGAGTGTTGGACATCAGGAGGGTTGGTGACCGGAGGTGACTATCAGAGTAGTCTAGCCACCATAGAAACTAAACAGTAGAGTCTGCATCTGATCCTCCAGTCTTAGCCTATAGTCTTCTCACTCTGCTCTCTAGAACAAAAAAGAGAAAGAAAAGAAGAAAAAGAACATGCAGTGATGTCAACTTTAATTCAAGTAGAAACAACACTGTTACCCTTACTCTGGTAAACGCATGTGGTTTACCATAGAGGCTCTAGCTCTCTACTGTAGTTCAACTCTACCCTCTCATGGTTACGGACTAATCTTAGCGCTGTACTGTCTCACCATCTGTTAGTGTAACAGCAGTACAGTGTGGAGTAGTCTAGTTGTTCTCTAGCTCTATTAGACCAGTATAGACTAATATAGAGGTCTCAAATTCCAATTTTACAGCCTGTCTATGATTGCATCCTCATGGCATGGTGTGGTTCTCTCTCCAATCTTAACCTTGGTGACATTCAGTGGGCTCGTCCACATCATGTATCAATTTCTGTTGTCATTTTGTTTTGTTTTTTTGTAATTGTAGAGTTAAGGTTAATATCAAAAACTGTTAGAAGGGGTTAAGCTGGTGCTTTTTCCTGGGTGTAAACGTAAGGAGCCGCAGGGCAGAGGACGATCCGGATCACCTAAAAGCATGCAGGAAGATGAATGGTCCCTGTTGTTGTCATCACTTCCCGTGAAAAAAAGCAAAGGGAGGCAAAAACAAACAAACACAAACAAACAAAATTGCCGTCAGTGTGGTTTTGATTGACAGCTCCCTCTCCTTTGTCTCGTCTTCCTCTCCCTCCTTGGTCCTCTCACTCTCTTTCGGACACACTTGTCCTCCCTCTCGGGCTCTCCTCGCTGAGGTGAGGCGTGTTTGTGATTGTAGTGCCCGTGTGAGATTCCAGGAGATCACATGTCACACGGTAGTGACGAGAGAGAGGCAGGGATTCACTGGACATTCCCAGGCCTTCCACCTGAGCACAACTGCACACACACACACATACACACACACACACACACACACACACACACACACACACACTTACATGTACCATCACGTCAAATGTACATGTTCTTACATCATTCACATTCTAGAATAGTTGGATGAAAGCACATTAACATAGATGTACAAAGACACAGAGGTTATATCCTTGTTTTTATCTTAAATATGTGTAATCATATTTTAGTGTTAACATCAGACAGATGTACAATAACTTCTATGAGGATAGGATATTTTAAAGGGTCTGTTTCACAGGAATTAGAGGAACTGCCCTTAGTAGTTTTGGTTTTCCATGCCCATTGAGTCTGTGAGATTTTTTAAGAAATCACCAGTGCGTCTTTCCAGAAACAATGTGACACTTACTTCGCTGTTTTCATTTGAACTACTTTCTACCAAATTAACATTTCCTGTGCTCTTCCCAGGGCAAAGAATGATCCAAAGATCTAATGTAGTAGGGGCCCCAATCCTGGTTCTGGCAATATATTTAACTTTAATCTGTTCATCAGTGAGCCAAAAACGATGGAAAAGGCAAAATCCATCCAGGGCACAGTACAAAATAAGAAAAAAAACAGAACTTGAAATTTGCACATACAATATTCTTCTATTGTTTGATATTTATTATAATTCTTTGTAAGCTAAGTTGTTTCTTTGTGTCGATTTGTAATTAGTTCTTGTTCGTAACATTTTTTCTGGAAAGAGATGCAACGATTTTATAAAAATAATTTGCAATTCTGATCTCTCAGACCCTGGGTAAATAAAAGCAAAACTATCTGCAATCAGATACCACTAAAAAAACCAAAGTGTTTTTTTTTTGTTTTGTTCTGCGTTTTTTTTAAATTTTTTTTTTTATGTAATTTCTGTGAAGCGACCCTGGAAATATTCAGCTGCATTATCACGTACTGGACGTTGAATTTATACTTCTTTATATCATCTACCGCTACATCCCTTTAAGTACACACACGGGCACAAGCTGACATGAACACACACTACTAATACTACCACTGTCTGAAGCAGGTTATGATGATATAATGAGAAAACGTTGCCATCTTTTGATTTTAGTGTGTGTTAATTTGAGAGTATACTGTGCATTCGATGGTAACTTCATTTAGATTTTCCTTCACAGTTATATATGGTATCACTCTGTTTTTCAGCACAGCGAGGCCCAAGAATGATACGCCTTAAAACAAACAGATGTCTTTGACATCATTGCTTTGATGTAGGATTGGTGAACACGTTTCTGGGCCAAGAGGAGGACAACACAGATATATTACACCTTCACTGATGAGTCGTTAAAGAATGAAAACTGAGGGTGTGATGTCAGAGTATACTGAGGGAAGGCGACAGGTTGCAGGTTCATCGGTATCACGGCACAACACTAACCAGTCCTCTCCTCTTCTGTACTCTCTCCCGCAGATCGACCCAAAGGTTGCATTCCCTCGCAGAGCTCAGCCCAAGGTCAGTCAAAGCGCCTCCTTGTTGTGCGTGCATTGTTTGAGGCAGTTTTGTGTGTGGCGAATGTTTCAGTCTCTTATAATGCCGTAATCTGATGAACACGAGCAGCACTGACATCACTGAACTGTTATGTGATCGTGTGTTAACAAAAACCTTCACAACTTTAGAGACACTCATTATTGTTAAACCTACCTAAACGTCCGTATTGTGTTTCAAGTACGCTGTGTCCTGATCTTTGCCGGTTTGTCTCCTCTGTTGACAACAACACGGTGTGCAACAGAAAGGATAGTTTAGTGAGGCAAACAGCATGAAGGGATACTGGCCTCGTAACATTTACCTCAACACAACAGATTTGAAAAAAATGGCTGCGTCACAGGTAGTCACATCGGCTCTGGTGACCCGCCAGTGTCCCAGCTGCAAAAAGTTCCATATGAGAACAAAGATAAAATGATAAAATTACAAACTCATAAAAGAACAACATGAATCACTGAAATAGCTGAATGTAGTGTTCATGGATGCTATCGTCCCATGATGCAACACACAGCGGAAATGAAAGAGTGAATCATGGTTAAAAGAAGACGTGGCTCTTGCGGACAGCGCAGAAAACAAATTAAGTTTTAATTTCAAATTTTGAGTAATGTTCTGATGTCACAGTTTGACTTACGTGTGTACACAGCTTGTGTTATATCCTGTTAGCAGGTATTTCTTGTATGCGCGCTGATTAAAAGCTGCGTCATACTATATGTTGTGTAGTGTTAGTGTACTGTAATGAATCTCAGACACACGTCCAGCATTATATGATTCCTCACTGTACCACCCACAGTCAACTAACAACAAAATGTTGCTGCACATACATGGTATGTAAAAGTATGATAATATGCCTCATAAATAACACAGATGCTGCTTGTCTCCTCCTCTGTGTGACTATGCAAGCTTATTCTGTCATGAAAGAAAGTGAAAGTGATGCAAAAGACCAAAAGAATTACATGTGCCACATGTTTGCTGCACCCAGAATTGACTTTAAATCCAATACAGGAAATAGCACTTTTTGTTTAAAGACTGAGTGTGCTGTAAGTTAGCAAACACCACATGCAGAACATAAAAGGTAACATTAGGAAATAAGTTGCGTTAGTCTGTTTGGGCTTTTTGGGCTAAGTGAAAGTGTTTAACCCTCACCAAAGTGATAGAGTGTTTAACAATGACCCCCTTTGAGTAAAAGAAAATTATATAAGAAACTAAAAGGATACTTAAAGAGCACAGACCTCCACCAAGGCCAGTGGTGTAGTCCTCTATTAAAATAATGTTAAAATATGGTTGTGCCTAGTTGAAGCCTCATCATCTCTGCTGCACATTTATTATGTATTTCTATGTTGGAAATTTTAATTTTTCCTGAATGTATCTAGTTCATTGCAGACAATTTACTTTTGGATTTGAGTAAGAGTATAAGTAGTTGTATGATGAGTGTATTTATGTTTCTACAGTCACACCTTAGTTTGAGAAAAAAGTGTTGTTACAATTGTACCAGTTCTTCCATGAAATCACTGTCCCTGAACGCTCCATAACAACTGCTTTCTGTATGAAATTTGGGCAACTACATGTGTACATAGAGTATTTTTACAGTTGGCCATGTTGTGTCACTATTAAACTTTACTATTATCTACTTAAGATGTCAGGCATTTATTAGACATTAGCCATTTATTAAAATACTTTTCAATTAATTGCTCAAAACAGCATTAAATCACTGTAAGTACTTAAAAAACTTTTCATTATTTATTGGAGCAGTAATTCCTTCAAATACTTTTAATAGGACTTTGTCGCTACACCCTTTGAACTGATGGCCTCATCTTCACTAGTGTTCACAAATGTGTGTTATTCTGTTTTCCTTCACGTCAATGACCAAAAACGTACAAATAACAATAAGCCCAAACTTTTTATTGTCTGTTTGCAAGTTTATGTTCCACATAAAAAAAAGTGAAGTTCTCTGTTATTTCTCATCTAAAGGAGCTTTTAAGAAGAGGATAATGACTATGACTATGTATTGGATGCATTACAGAGTAATCCTCATTTTGGACACATTTCACATTAATAATACAATAGATTTATTTTAAAGTATTAAAATAGAAAAGTGAAGAGCAATTCTTTGTAATTATTGTAACCTTTACAGTGCTGTTTGAGAAAAAATACACATTTTAAGCCCTTTTAAACTGGTATCCTAAAAAAATATGTTGATAACAACATGATAGAAAAGATGATAACACACAGTAGGAAAAAAAATGTGTTAATCAGTGCCTTTCCTCCTCTTGCAGTTGGTGACTCGAACCAAGAAGATCTTTGTGGGCGGCCTGTCAGTGAACACAACCATCGAGGATGTGAAACAGTACTTCGACCAGTTTGGGAAGGTGAGTGTTGTTGTTAGAGTTGTTGAGACGTCACTCTGTGGTGGAAATGAAAGACGGAGCATTAGCAATATTGCGCCGAATGAAAATGAGGATTACTTTTGTCAGTTATAACAGATTCACATAAGTTTGCCTCGTTGGCATTAGCGCAGAAACAAATCAACAGCTTAGGAACACACACTGTAGTACCACATCTCACCAGCTCAGCCCAGTCTGATTCACCACAAATCCATCTGAGAAAAACTTCACTTGGAGTTGAGCGACCGCCTTGAAGTGAAGGGGTTACTGCGAGGAGGAGGAGGGCGAGAAAGTAGGGAGAGAAAACGCTTGGAGAGGGCAGGAAGGGAAAAATAATGAGGCTGAGAGGCTCCGGGAGCAGCAGGCGAAGTTAGGGGGACTTGAAGAGGGAGCAGAGAGGAGGGGAGGGAGAAGGGGGGGGGAGAAAAGTTTTGTAGTGAGTGTGTGGTGATGGTGAGGAAGGAGGAGGGATTATCAGAATCTGAATTAATCTGATGTAACAGCTGCTCCTACCCACAACCCCCTCCTGGCCCGTTACCGTGGTGACCTGGCTTGCCCATTGTCCCCAAGTAATTCTGCGGGTAAGGGGGTTTTGTTCTGAAGGAGGAGGGATGAGGTGGTGTTTGGGGGTGTTAGCATGAGTGTGTGTGAGTGTGTGTTGGGTGGGGGTCAACTCAGGAGTTTGGCAGCAATAAATGCAAGTCGACTAACGCTCAAAAACCGGCAAACTTATCACTCAGCCTTCGTTTTCTTGATTTATTTGTTTGTGTTTTTGTAATATTTCTATGTCAAGTTTTGTTTAAGTTGTTATATTGTGAAGACTGTGACAGACATGAGGCAGAGAATAGATGATGAGCTGACAAAGGCACCAACAAGAGAGGGAGGGCCTGATTGAGAGAGGTTTGTGGAGGCGTAAGAGAGGGAACTGGGGCAAAGATGGGGTTTGGGGGGGTTTACGGGGGCCATTATGCCTCTGTACAAAGCTAGACAAATATTTTCTTAGTTTGTCCAGAAGTTATCTGCATACTGAAAGTTTCTGGATTCTTCACACTCCTAAATGTCCTCTAATACAAGACTAACCATCAACAATATGTGATGCCATGTGAGGGTTGGTTGATCGAAAATTGGATTAAAAAAAAAAGAAAAATCGCATAAACTTTTCCACCAAATCACAGGTGGACAATCTCCACCTCGAGCCCTTGAAACTTTCCAAAGTCAAACATGCGAATACTCCATTTTAGCTGCCGCATTTCCGACTGCGTGGCACTTCATTTTCAGTGCCAAAGGCTTGGCCTCCAGTTTCCCCGTGCTCCCTCCTCAATCATAACGTCTAGATGAATTTTGCCGAGAGAGATATCGAGGGATGGACGGTGAAATGTAGGCTCCAGCCATCCATGGAAGTTCCTGATTAGACTGCCTCACTGGACCTTTTGTGTCCCGTCCTGGTGAGGACAAAGGAGCGCGGAGAGGGATGGGCAGGGGATAACAGGGAAGATGAGAGGTGAAAAAAAAAATGGATAAGAGGGAACATTGTCCGGCGGCACACTATTAAAATGCCCAGTGTTTGAAATATCAAGCAATGATGTGCGATTGACTCAGGAACCATGTTGTTGTGATGTTTCGATTGTGTGTTCACGTTGGGATTGTGTAGCTTCCTGTGTGTTTATTAGGTCTGGTTTTTAGATCTCCAGCATGACTCGATGCGTTCTTGATGTGGCAGTGTTTCCTGACCCTCTCTCTCGTCGATCAATTGATCTGCAATCTGAGTTGCTGCTCTCAGTCCTCTTGGATAAAAGTGTCAGCTAAATGGCAAAAAGAAACAGTGCTGTCGCAGAGATAGAGAGAGGAACATGTTGCAGGCGTCACGGAGTAAATGTCAGGCTGGAAGGAAGCAGTGACTTGAGAGGCATCAGAGTAACAGGTCCTCTTTCACACTGACACTCCTCACCCACCTTTGACCTTTCTGTAGGCAAACTGCCCTTGGGGGTCCACACGCACACACTCACACTGTGTGCCGATGTGACTATGACAAATTATTCAGTGGACTATATCCAGTAAACTTATTATAGAGCACAGATTCATTTACCAAATGTTTATTTGGACGTCTGTGTGCCGACCGGAGTATAAACATGTCAGCTTTTTACAAGAGAAAGAGGGAAGAAAGAGTAGAAGAGTAGGTCAACTTTGACATAAGAAACTCAGTTTGTGTGTGTGTTTGATGTGTGTGTGTGTGTGTGTGTGTGTGTGTGTATAGAATAGACACCTGTGTCTTTGCTCTATAAAGGGAGGCCGGGCTGGAGGGAGAGGTCAAAAAGAGAAGAGGAGGAGGAATTATGGCTGACTGTGCCAACAAACAAAGCCTCCAGGCCTCTTTGTTCTCCCTCTCCTTTTGTCTCTTCTTTCTCCTCCCTCTCCACTTTGACCCAATCTTTTTTTTTTCTTCCCCTCTCTTACAGGACTCTCTGTGCTCTCTTTTCACCATATCTCCACCTGTCGCTATTCCTCTCGCTATCAGCTCTCCCCTCTCATCGAGTCTCCACCTGCCCACAGGATTCACCTTTCTGCTTGTGACTGGCTATTTTTTTTTTTTTTTTTTGTCAGTGTTTCTCTCTTTGCGGCCCTCTCTTTGTCTCACTGGCACTCTCCCACTATTCATAAAGCATATTTGATGTTGGCTAGAGCCCTTTTATATGGACTTTTTGTACAGTTGCCATGGGAATGTCAAACTTTGGAGGGGAGAGAGGTGGCGGATTACGGGCTCTCTGTGAGAAGGATTGTGACCGGGGCAGTTTAGCAGCAAATATGACTTCCAACTTCTCATGCCACCCATTATGTCTGTTGGCTGTGTGCAGCAGCAGGGCTCGTACAGTGTTTCTTCATATTTTCCTGTCTTTGCCCCCTCGGCCTCCTTTTTGTAACCTGTCGCTCGTCTCAAGTCCTCCCCCTCCCTCCCTCTTCCCCCTCCTCTCTGTCCATCTGTTGCTGAGCCTCCCCGCAGAACTTGAGAAGGGCTGAGGTCAGGCAATATGCCGCGTGGCAAAAGAGAGAGCGCCGCCTAAAAAACTATGTTGTTTGTCTCCCCCCCAGGTCGACGATGCCATGCTCATGTTCGACAAGACCACCAACAGACACAGAGGTGAGCTGAAGTGACCCATCTCCCTGGCCGTTCTCTGCCTATGTTTCTCCTTCTCTCCGTCGACTCTTCCTCCAGTCCTGCCAGGGTATCTATTGATCCCCCTCCACCCCCCGCGGGCCTCCTTCCTGTGGGCTGAGCTGGAGGAGACGAACGGGGCTAGTCTAATTAGCCAGTCCGTTAATCTGGATCAGGATAAAGCCTCCTTAAGCACCTCCTCCCCACCCTGGGACTGATCGATTATGACAGCCTACCAGCTTTGCCCGGGCCTTCTGGCCAGGAAGGGAGGGAAGAAAGGATGAGTGCAGAATAGCAGCATTGAAAGGGGGGAAGGAGGGGGGCAAATGTGTTAAGCAGCTATTACAGCACTGATTACTGGAGACTATTAGCTGTACTGCTGCACAGAGAGGCCTACTGTCTAAATCCAACACACTATGAAATTTTCTTAGTCATGAATTTGTGCCGTCCTCCCCAGGGTTTGGCTTTGTCACGTTTGAGAACGAGGACGTGGTGGAGAAAGTCTGCGAGATCCACTTCCACGAGATCAACAACAAAATGGTGAGCAGCTTGATTTGTCAACAACACTCACAGTAACACCATGTTGTGTGGAAACTACAGGTAGTGATTTGTCTTTTGTCCGGAAACAGGTGGAGTGTAAGAAAGCTCAGCCCAAGGAGGTGATGTCCCCCACGGGCTCAGCCAGGGGGCGCTCTCGTGTGATGCCCTATGGAATGGACGCCTTCATGCTGGGCATTGGTATGCTGGGTAAGGTAGTATTGATCAGAACAGGAAGGATGTGGCTGCATACGTGAACATGACAATAAGTATTCCAGCTCTAAGGCCGCAAATGTCTCAAAGGTCACACAGGGCCTCATGGGGAGAAAACTGACCACTTAACTCGGCTCACAACTCTCCACCATGCAGCCTTGATTATCCAGATCTCAGACTGTAGAAGTGATGTTGAAACTGCTCATAGCTGTGAACAGTCAGTTATGTGCAGGGGGTTTTACGTCAATACCTGCAGCTGAACATATTCAAAGTCTGTGTGCAAGAACATGCTAATCATTTAAATGGCTCATGTTTAACAGATAAACGGTGAACTGGATGTACCCGTCTGCAATTAACGAATTTGAGTGTTGTCAACTCATGACAGTCAGTGACACTCATACACTGAGTTTAACCGTCAATATATGTGTCCCCCACCTAAATATGAACCAAACCTTTTCCTTTACATAAGGGTTTGCTACAAATTTTAACGAGGGACACGGTTTAACGGGGGAACAGACTTTGACACACAGCAGTTCAGACCATGCAACTACCACTGCTACTGAAGCCACTTCATATGAATATCTGAAGGAGTTGAATGAGGAAATCAGTACAGATTACAATAGAAAAAAACTGACATTTAGATGCAATTTATTCACGCCGGCAACGAATTTGAAACAACACGTCGAGTTGAAGCATCTGACCAGTCGTGGGCAATATCTCCAAGTGAATGATCATCACAAAATTTACACTATTTAAAAAAAAGGAAGACATGAACGTAAACTAGTTCATTTTTTGGAACTGTGAGCTTTAAATTTCAAATTGTGAGCTATGAATGCAAACTAGTTTATTTTAATGTGTGACCTGAACGTTGAGCTAGCTCGTTAAGTGTGAATGTGCAAACACTGCTCAGTCTACTATTTACATACATATACATTCCAGTTATGCATTGCGTTATAGTCTAATTCATCTCAGTGAGCACTTCAGCAATTTAGAATTGCACTTCCATAAAGTTTTGGGACTCACAAGTGACAGACTTAAAAAACGGACAGTCAAAAAAAGAAGCATCAGAGGCAGGAGATATCCTGACTCAGTCTCTAGTAGTCCCTGGTGACATCACTTTGACATCATCAGGGCATTATTTTTAAATTTTGGAAATCTCCCTCCACATTTTTCAACTGTCGTCACCTCAACATGACTCCTTGAGACGAGTAAATTGAACCTCAAGTGTGAAATTTGTGGAATGGCCCTTTAATAAATCTGCTCTCCTCATTGCGTTGAACGTTATACTCTGCAGTCGGGCCAACTCATTAACAGATCTTTGTACTCACAGCAGTCAGGACTTGTTTGTGCATCTGAAGCTTAGCTTGCCACACCGATGCTACCACCTACTGTTCAGTCTGAGAACAGCACCTTCCTCTTCAGTGATACGATCAGACAGTGCTCATAAGATGATATATCACCACACTTTTAAAGACAATGCAAAAATATTAAATTAGTTGTGCTGTCTTGTGGCACTCCTAACAAATAACATTATATTATCTGTCCGAATATTGTTCTGAGGTCAGTTCTCCAGGTGTGAGTGTGTCGCACACAGAAAATCTGTGTAATGTGCACTGCTGAGAGTGAAACACAAGACAAAGACACTAAGCTGCTCAGTCCGGTCTTTGTAAAGAAATCACAGGTGTAGAATATCACCCACCTGCGTGTCACAGACTGTACCAGGCTTCACTGTTAGGGGGCAGCACATCCACACACCTGTTCCTCATTTTGTGCCTGTGGGTGTTGTTGGTGTTTGCTGTGATCTGGATGTTGATGGTGATTTTGTTTCCACAGGTTATCCGGGCTTCCAGACAGCCACCTACACCAGTCGGAGCTACGCTGGCATCACTCCTGGATATACATATCAGTTCCCTGGTAATCACAGCACACTCCCTGCTCCTGATACACTCTGACTTGTTTCTGTCACATTAACTGAGAGATAGATACACAGCCACAGATAGCAGGTGTAGGTGTTGTCCAATGTATTTCCATGGAGATGACTGAGACAGAAAAGTAAATTTCTTAAGTGTCTGGCAGTGTACCTGTCATGCAACGACAGCACAGACACTAAATCCTTGTGATCCTTGTAGCATATAGACAAACAACAAAAATACACTCAAATATTCACTACGTGCAGGGATAGAAGGGAATGAAAGTTGTGCTTGTTGTACTTTAATAATCTAAATAGTCTTTCTGTTGTTTGCTGAAGAATTTGACACAAATTATGATGATAAAAACATATTCTTGTCAGCTGCCAGAGACTACCCATGTTTTGTGTTGGGCAGCTGCACATTAAAGAATAGTCTACAGCTGTGCTAGCAGCTTTTTGTGCTTTGTGCGTGAGATTAAAGCTAACATCAGCATGCTAACATGCTACTTTTTATCGTGTAATATTTTACAAGTTTGATCATCATAGTTTAGCATGCTAGCACACTTATATTTGCAAATTTAGCCCTGCAATAGTCTGTCCACCTGTCCAGGGTGTCTCACCTCTTGCCTAGTGTCAGCTGGGATAGGCTTCAGCCTCCCCGCGACCCCTAACATGATAAGCAGTTACACAAAATGAATGTTTTGCAAATTGTAACTATTCCTACTAAGTATGACATAAAATTAAATATGTAGTGCTTTCCAGCTGTGTACTAAGTGGATTTTGTATAGTGTTGTATAGTTTTTTGGACATACTCAGTAACACCCCACAATGCATCGTGGCTCCTTAAACTGTCCAGTGTCGGACTGCAAGGCTGACTGTTAAAGTAATTAACTAATATAATAATTACAAATGTGTCATTAAGGTGTAGTTCAGAGGAAAAATGCAGGAGCTCACATATAAAATGTACTGTAGAAAACATATTTAACACTAAAATATTTAATAATGTGAATTTTCCTTTAAAATGATACTGGATTTGTTTAATTGTCATAGGCAGTACGCAGCACATACAGACTCAGAGTGTAGTATGCAGTACGTTATTAAATGATTTTGAACACAACCATTGCCCAGCTGAAGCTGATGGAAATGTTCTGCAGGTATTTGTTCATAAACCAAACTATTGGACAAATGGAAACTGTTTCCTGAAAATCAGAATCTATCCTTTGGAGACCTCAGATATACAGCACATTGCAAATGTCACAGCAATCAATCTGATAGTTGCAGCAGAGCTAAATATGTATTCATCCCATAAGCAGCAGGTCAACATGTAGTGTTGCCTTGTAATGAATGATTGATCGTGGATGATGTTGGTGTGAGTGCTCTTCTGAGTTGAATAAATAAACTTGTTGTTTGTTGACCTGACAGCAGACACACTGTCACAAATACAAACATGTTTCCATAGAAGCACACGAAACACTGTGAGTGTAAATGGCTGCTTGTAAATATCAAGGAGTGGAATCACATGTGCTTAGCTCGTGTACAAGTGTGTGTGCGTGTGCGTGCTTACATGTTAGTGTGGCAGTGTATGTCACTAGAGTATATGAAGTTACTCTGGAAGTTAATTCCAAAATTAAATGTTTTACATATGGATGAAACCAAATCACACTCTTGAGTTAAGGTTATTAGTTTGTATGACAAAATTATAACATTTGCTGTATTTCTTGCTATTTTAAACTGATTTCAACACAACTTTATTGACTATAAAACATTCTTCCATCCTGTAATTCCTGTTTGCATCCCTCAAACCTTGTGTATTCCAATATGTACTCTCCATACCTCCTGCCTGACGTCACCTCGGAGGTGTTTCCTTGCCTGTGTGTGTGCGTGTGTTCTCCTTGCTGGCGGTGGTCGTGTGTGTCTCAACAGCACTCTGATGTTTCTGTTTTAGAGTTCCACTTAGAGAGGACTCCCCTTCTGACTTCACCCCACCCCCCTGAGCTCACAGGTCAGTCAGTCCCTCCTTTGGACTTTACAAGCAGCGTGTTGTCAGTCTGCTACACTCTTTGGTTTGCATGTTTGTGTTTGTCAGTCCTCCTCGGTCTCTATCTGAAGGCAGGATTGCTGACAGTAATGAGGGAGGTTTGACTTTAAAGGCTCCCTTCAGTGACCTCATCAACTCCTTCTTTATCCTTTCTTTACACACTCTCGTTAAGTTTTTACTTACACCTCCTTGTATTCACAAGGCTCGGTTTAAGTTATCAGAAAGTTGTTGGGGTCACTGGGGTGAGACATTTAAGGTGTGTTATTAGTTATCTAAGTGTTTGCACACAAAGACATTTAACCTGGAGCTTTTCTTGTCTGTCTCTTCAGCCATTCCTCTCACAGCATATGGACCAATGGCAGCAGCAGCGGCAGCAGCAGCAGTAGTTAGAGGTATGGACATTTAAAGGGACAACGCTACCATGTGAAATTAAGGGGACCAACCAATGACATGTGGAATTCCCAGACCTCAAAAGTAGCTTTGAAAATAATGACATTTTTTTAGTTTATTTTCACCAGAACTTGATTTCTTATCTTGATAATCAATAATATTGTTCGTATCTCATTTTGAATGCAGCAACCTGATGCTCTGCAGTGTTCTGTTAGTTCCCCCCAGTAAAACTAGTCAGATACTACCCTGTCCCACTTCAGCAGAATCATTCTGACAGTCTATGAGAAAAAGGCTGACATGAAATACAACTTCCCCAGGAGTCATTTACACCTGCAATAATTGATTGTTGGCCACTAGAGGGCAGCAGAATTAAGCTTTAAAGACAACACAGATACACTGTACTATCATCTCAGTATGGGAGAACATGTTAACAAAAAGTTGTTTATTTACACAAAGAGCAGATATGAAGCAACATTATCATTCATGTGGAGCTTTGATTCTGGCCAGCTAACAAATGTATGACAATGTTAACTTACCATTTCGCTCCATTGTTGGCCTTCACCAACTCCTGAGACAAATATCTGTCCCTTCAGTTGTTGATGTTTGACTGTGTTCACCAGATAGTTGCTAACTTTGTCTGTCAGCTATTTGGTGCTAGGCAGATAGTGTGCAGTGCAGAAAACAATGCTGATGAGAGCAGCAATGGCCGTTCTGAGGAGAGGGGCGTAATATTAAGCCTGGGCTCTCCTCTTGTCCCTCAAACTGTGGCGAATAATTTCATTTTTCATCCCATATTTATTCCCAAAGGAGGGGAATTGTAATTATACATGGGCAGCAATAAATAAAATGTATACGAAAGCTGACAGGTGAACTCTCAAAGAATGGATTGTGGCTGTTGATAGCACCATGAATTGTGCATCACTGGTAACCATTATCTGCCTTGTCTCAGGGTCAGATTCTCAAAAGGTATTGCAGAAATTATATTATGGCACAAACACACCCATAAAGTTGTGCAGCTGAGTGCTATTTGTCCCTTTTTTTGCAGCTGATTGCAATTATCCATGAGGCAAAGTACAAATGTTACCTTTACATCAAGAACACAGTAGTCAGAATGACAGCAGAGAGAAAAGGAAAACTGAAGTTTTCAGACTACAACCTGACCAATGAGGCGCAGAGATATTCCTTAAAACTTAGAGGAATTTGATCAAGTCAAGGCGGGACACCCCTAACTGCACTCCAGTTACCTCCAAGTCTCTTAAGACATTAGTAATTTTAATGTAACTGCATGTGGCTATTAGTGCAGCTCCCTGTGAAATGGACTGTGTTTGCAATAAGGGTCATATGCACAGAAAGGGGCCAATTTTGCACCAAATGTTTGTATATTATCAGATTTAAATAAGTGCAAAAAGCAGATGAGCCCTGAGACTCTGTTTGCTTGGCAGTGCAGTTAGGGGTGCATTTTACTCTTTGAGGGTGCTTTGAGAATTACAGTTTCTTCTTGTCTTATTCATGCACAATTAGCACCCAAAAAAGCCACGCAATCCATTTATAGATTCACCCCTGAATGAGGATTCCTGTGTTTATAAGTATTTGTGTATCGTTAGCCTTTTGGAGTACCAAACCTAAGGGGTAGTGGTGGTATGTAACAGTTGTACGTAATGTATTTGTAACCAACCCCTCGCCACTAAGTGACAGTATAATAGTGGGCTGTAAAACCAAAATAATGAGGGGAACTGCAGAGTCAGGTGATAATTCATCTTTCTCACTACACATAGTCACTGGATCAATTGTTAGTTATAGGCATACTGATTATAGACACTTTAGAAGAGGGTACATATCTTTCACATGGAAAGAAACTCTGAAAATTGTTGTTTTTTTTATTCTAATTTCAGGCTCCACCCCGTCTCGCTCAGCTGGATTTTTAAGTACGAGCAGCCCGGGGCCGATGGCGGACCTGTATGGAACAGCCAGTCAGGAGTCTGCTGTCAGCAGTTACCTCAGCGCTGCAAGCCCAGCTCCAAGCACTGGATTCAGCCATAGTTTGGGGGTAAGATAACCTCTCTGCTCTTGACTTTATTATGTTTGTATCATAAGTTAAAGCTGTAGGTCATGTGACTGTTGTAGTCAGTGAAATTACAGGTGTGTTTCTATCTTAACATTTCAAGGGCACAAGAGTACATTAAAAAGAGATGTCAAAAAAATGTCAAAGTGCTGCTGTGAATCTTTTGGATCTATTATGCTCTAAATAAGACGAAAGGAAGTAGCAAAGGCAGGTCTGGCTATGCCATCATTTATCTGAGAAATGTCTCCATTCACTGCTCTGCTCATCTTTAGCTGCACATTATTATTTTTTTCCTCCATTTTATTTATTCCAAATTTATGACCTTATTTAAAATTTGCATTAAAACTAGTGGATAGAAACTCACTTACCAATACGTTCTCACTCTAAACTCATCAAATAACAGGCAGCTTGGTCAGTGGCCCTAAGCTTCAAACTATGACGCTCTACGTGTCCCTCTACGGTCAGTTTTGGACATGTCAGTTTCTGTGTCAGTGTCCACTATTTACACGCCACAATGTCTTTCAGAATAAACCACCATCTACACAGGAAACGTAGGTTTCGCCGCTAAAACTACACTGTTGGTTAGGTTTAAAAAAATCTGTAATCATTTTGGTTAAAATAATTACATTTCTTACAGTTACTTATCGAAAATGTCACATGATGACTACATGACATAAAATAAGGCAATAATTTTGTTCCATGGTTGAAAAAACTCAAGTTGACTTTTGGTTTCATATGAGAAATGAACACCAGTCTCCCAGGTGAAAGTGTAGTATGTGTTTGACCCATCCACCACCCCTCCCTCCGCCCTACTCGGACTTTCTTGCTCTTTGTGCTCTTTCTCGCACTGTGTTATTTCAGTGAATGAGATTATACTGGAGGTAGCTGAAAGCGTGGGCATATACTCATACAGATGCTGTAAGGTGCCTTGTGCGCCAGTAACAGACACCAAGGGCCACAGACCAGGCTGCCATATTTAACGTCCTGGTAGTCAGATTGGGTTGCACTGAATCATGTGCCTGTGCTTCTCAGCTGTGTGTCATCATGACTCGGCGTTTGTGTAGTTATTCTTTCCAACAATATACTGCAGCAGCCCACTTTGCTAATGAGCATATTCATCCAGAAAGAAGGAACTAATCAGCAAATTCAGACATTAAAGTTGACATTAAAGTCTGAGAACAAATAGTGAACTTTAAACTTGTATGCTTGCTCCCACAGGGCCCTTTGATTGCCACGGCCTTCACTAACGGATATCACTGAGAGTGTAAGTCATCATCTTGTTTTAAACCTCACATATAAGACTGATTCAGTGGGACTCACCTGTGAGTAACTGGGTGTTTTTTTATGTGTCAGTGCAGAGCTGTAGACTGAGAGCTGGAAGGAGTTGAAGCTGCTTTGGAGCTGATCTGGCCTGTCTCTGTCCAGTCCACCTCTCCGGCTGGTGCAGTTGAACCCTCACCCCTCCACCCTGGTGTCAGCTTGAATCCAGCCCACCCTACTGACGCCTACCGACACTAAACTCCACCTCCTGAGGAAAAAAAAAAGAAAGTTCATAAATGGAGCGAAAAAGTTGATCACTACATGTAAAAGCAACACATACAGATGCTGTATTTTTAGTGTTTTTTTTTTTTTTTTGTTCTTTCTTTCTGTCATTATGTTTCACCTTGCTGTTTTTTTTTGTGATGGCTGCGTTGTTTCTTTATCTGTTTTGGCTGTTTTATTGGGTTATGTGAACCTGGTCTCTCTGAGAGCAGAGGAGAAAAGTCTCCAGGTGAAGCCTGTTTGAAGGTCAGGAGCTGTAATTTGTACTGGAAAACTGTATATTTGTCACTAGTTCATACTGAATTTTAACAAAACATTTGTGATTAATACTGTTTCTTGAAATGTGTCACAAAGTGTATATCTTGGTAGGTTTTTAACAAAGACTTGTTACACTAATAACAGTCAGACGACAAAGGTCATTAGTCACAGTTACATAATAGGCCTACATGAGCTGTACAATTTTGTAAAATATTGTAAATATGACTGGTTTCTGGGGGGGCACGGCTAATTTTTGTGTTTGGGAGGCTTTTGGAGAAATAATACGATTGCTTCTTTCATCATATGCATTGGAAAGCTTGACTGTTACGTCTCCAAGTTCCACACAGAGGTCAAGAACAGTGCAGTATGTTTGTCTGTCAATATGAGACCAGCCACATACTGTAATCATCTCCAGGCATTTTATAAAGGACGTGTCATTTGATTCTGTTACTGCATTTAAAAACTGCCTCAGAGTTGAAGCACTTTGAGTTGAGCAGGAGAGCGGCTGAATCTGGAACAACACTTTACTTTTGGGGATAACTGGGTGTGAAAATGCTCCTTCTGTCAGGAGAGAGAAAAAAAACATGCTGTTTTCTTACTTTGTCATATTGTTGTTTTAACTGTGATTTTCAATATGTGATGATTGTTTGTGAAGGGAAATGAAGGAGCAGTGTTCAGGAGCAGTCATGCACGGTTAACAGTGTTCTGACTGATCCACTCTGCAGGTTGTGTTGATGTTTGCGTGAGCGTCATATGGTTTTATACACATTGGTTTCCAATGTGCCATGTTATGTTTTTTTGGGGGGGATTGTACCTCAGTTGCAAATGTGAAATTTGAATCTGACTTTTTTATTATTACATTAACATCTATGTCAAAGTGTGGATGGTTGAACCTTTTAGAAAGGTGGCTTTTCCAACAGGAAAGGGGGACTCTTATTAACTCTTGTTTACCTGTCACCCCTCTTCCAATCACTGCATATCCACTGGAGGTCACAGACTGTAGCAATGTGACAGCTATTTTTAGACCAAAACAATTATGTTCAGAGCTACTATGACGTTGCACTGGCCGATCACAAAAAAATGTGTTTTCCTTCGAATGTTAGCTTAAGAACAAAGCACTCTTGATTTACCAGGTTTTACATTTTGATACACTCGCTCACACTGCTGCGGGCTACCATGGTAGTTCATACTTTGATGCTGTTTTCACTGAAAAATAACAATCTTGTCAACACTGTAACATTTTCTGATTTTCTTTTTCCTGTCATGTTTATTCCTTTGAAAAAAAAAAAAACTTTTTAAAATTCCTAATAAATTATTTTAAAACATTCCATTTATGTGTCCTGTTTGACCTGCTTGGGTTTTTGCACCTAATATTTTTTCTTCTTTTGAATGAGACGTGAACAGAAATGCAAATTTGGTTAAAGGATCAAACTTTTCATATTTATGAAGCTATTTTTTTTCTCAGGGTTTAGGATTTTTGGCATTTTTCATTAGCAATAAATGGTGCTATGTGGCCCTCTTCACAGTTTAGTTAGGATAGTCTGATAATAGGCAAAAATCTGGAAAAGGAAAAAAATGTCAGAATTTAAAAACACACTCTCTCGCTGTAGCTCTCCCTCTCTGTCCTAAACCCCTCCCGCCAGACAACCACTGGCATATGAACCAAGTGGCGACCTAAAACCAACATGGAAGTGCCAAAAACTGCTGTTCTTTGAATGGCCCCTTGAGCCTGGCTCTCTTTAGCTAATTTAAACATTCATGACAACTTTACCAGGGCTGAATTTTTATATATCAGTAACTCACCTGTTTACATTTTATTGGGGCTTAAAGGCGCTGTATGTAAGAATGTGGCCAAAAAGGTTACTGCACTCAAATTCAAAATACTGCCACGAGTCGTGTCCACCCCCCCCTCCCCTACAGATTTGAGGTTGCTGGACAGCGGCACGCTGGAGACTGATTTGTTTGCCCACGGCCGGCTGCCGTGGCAGGGCCGCGTCGCCGCGTCTTTGATATTCGGTTTTCCAGCGGACCGTTCGAGCAAGTCCAGCTTCTCTGCTGCTAACGCTGCTGCCGGGATACAGCTGAGGAGGAACCGGCTGCTAATGCTATGTACTGGGACACTGCTAATGCTGCTTGCCTTGCTGCTGTAGCTCAGTCGTAACTGTAACTGATGCTGAGACTCTACTGACTGTGTGACTGGTAGACGGCGGTGGGTGGCACAACAGGCCAAAACACAAATTCAAAACATAAACATGATTTGCAGACTGTAAAAAATTTTTTTAAATGCGAATATTCTGGCTGTACTATTGAACATTATTCCTTAATCTCTGTGACATATTAGGATGATTTTACGACTATTTGCTTTAGATTTCTTACATATAGCTCCTTTAAAGTTACCCATAATTGAGGGGGGGGGGGGGGGGGGGGGGGGNCCTGTGTGTGTTGTCGGTCCGGGCGTCGTTTGGGTGGGCGGGGGGGGGGGGGGGGGGGGGGGGGGGGCGTTTTGAGTGACAGGATGTCTGATGTCTGATGATGTCAGCCTCTCAGTAAGATCCACCCCTCGCTCCTCCACTGCACCAGCTTCTCATCCACATACAGTCACCTCTTGCTCCAAAAAAACAGAATAGCAACGGCCAAAATGCCGAACTCAAGGCTTTAAAGCGGGAGTCCACAAACCAATATGTGACATCACAGTAGCTACTTCCATTACCTTTACAGTTGATGATACACTCATGCTTCATACAGGGACCCAGTGTAGCCATACATTAATTTTTTAAATTAATTTCATTGTAGAGCTGCACACAGCTCTTTCACTCAGAACCTCCTTGCCCTGATCTTTGTCTCTCTCTTTAGTAGACCACAGATGAAACAAGAATTAGCAAGCTAAGCCACTGGCTCCTCACCTTGCTCCCCACTGCTGTGGACTGCTTCCCCGGGATGAGAGCTGGCAGCAGCTTGGTCTGTCAGTCGGCGGCTGTAACCGTTTAGAGTCAGCCAGCGCAAACCCCTAGTGCCGGGTGTCACAGCAGGCAGTTGGCCTGCAGCAGCACCAGGTTTAACCTGTTAGCTGATCTGGCTGGGAGTCTGGCCTGTCCACTCCCACAGAGCTGGGGTTTGCACTGGTTGCTACGGCCACGACTAGCTGTTGATTTGGGGTCCGTCTCCAGAGCTGCTGCCCGCTCTCCTCCCAGCGAGGTGGTCTGTAGCAGTGGGGAGTGAGGCTGAAGTCACCCTGTGATTCAAGGGTCTAGCTAAAGTTAGCTACATAAACATGAGCATGAAGCCCCAGCAATTAGTGTTTGGCTCTGGATAGCAGAACACTGAACTATTAGCAACATATTTCTCTGTCTGAAATGACTTGTAATTTGACAAAGTCTGGTGTCACAGCCAAGATTTTTTAAAGCCTGAAAATAGAGCCATGGGGAGGGGAAGAATTCACGTGTTCTGTCATTGCACTTAAATTAGCTCAAAGTTTATGATGGGATTTTGGCCCAATGATGCCCGATTAAACTGCCTACCCAGGCTTTAACAACTGCTGATTTTTGCTGTTTTGTTTAATTGTATAACCTTCTGTGCACTGAAAGAGAACAACAGTGATGTTATTCTAATGTATTCTCTAATTGTACTAAAGTTCTGATAAATTACCACTCATTTTGTACTAAATTACTATAAATTTGTGCTAAATTACTACAAATGTGTATTGAATTAGTTTAAATGAAATACAAATTTGTACAAAATTGCTATAAATGTTCTTTGAAAATACTAATAATTTGTGACAATTTAAAAAAGTGTACTAAATGAATATACATTTTATTAAGTTACTATCAATTTGAAACTAAATTAATCTGTCCTCTTCTAAGTAAAACAAACAAACCAAAATAAATAAATAGTGTAACGTCTTCCTTTTCCTGACACAGTTTCTAATCAGTCAGTCTGTCTGCTGGCCTGAGTCTTCAGACTTCTCAGCAGCCTGCCTCTGATTCCCTCTCATATCTCTCTGCTGGCTGATTTCTCTCTTCCATCATCACTGCTCTGCTGCCTCCCCTCCCTCGCCTCCTCTTCCTCCACCCTCCCAGTGTCTCAGCTCTGTGCCTCACCTCTCTGCTTTTACTGTCTCGGGGGACGGCAGCCGGTCATGACCACCAAGTCCTCGCTTAACGGGAGCGCTGACCACCTGAAATACGGGGAGGCTCAGGAGATCCCACCTCTGAGGAACTATCTCTGTCTCACCATGTTCACCTGTTTCTGCCCTGCATGGCCCATCAATATTGTGGCGTTGGTTTTCTCTTTACTGGTGAGTTATACACTGTTTGGAGTCTGAGGGTTTCTGGACACGATTGTTTCCTATTTTTAAATTGTTACAGCATGAGATAATTTAAGTGATGTTTTTATGAGGTTTAGATATTTACAGGCATAGAGTTCATTCAACATGTGTCACATCATATGGATACGTAGATTAGAGATCAGAGTGCTGGTGGTGGGAAAACACACAGAGGACATGAAGGGATGATGGTAACAACATGGCTGGATATACAGTAGCCTACACTTAATTGCCATTTATATGACTTGTCTGTCTTTTCCTTGAGCAGTAAACAAGTTGTGTAATGTTACAATTGACTTATAGTTGACTTCATATGAAGAGATACAGAAATAGCCTCTTCACTTCTCTGAGCTGCCCGTTTGTTTAATTAACAAATGCTTCTACTGATGTGTGCTCAGATCAAATATACTTTAATTTTATGTACTATAAAATACTGTACTAAGTGTCAAACCATGTTTATAACTGCTTGATGTTCTACACAATGAATGTACGCCATCTGTGTTTCAGTGAGAGGAAAACCTTTGATAAATAATCCCCATTTGTCATGAAGCCACAAAGTTTAAATAAGTTTGAGCCTTAGGTAGGGGTAATGCATTTGTCTCAAGTCTTTGAGCTGAGGACAGAGTTGGATTGAGTTGACATGCCAAGCAGCTGTTGTATCGCTGTAGCTGTGAGTAATAAGATGAGGTATGAAGGCACAGCAATCCACTGTTTATCATGTCTAAGACCACTGGCTGCACTACAGATATGAATTAGAGATAACAAGAAAGGCAGGTGCAGGGAGAGACATTTAAATGCAAAGTGTGGCAGGGAATGATTTCCTCTCTATATGAAAGACACATGCTACTATGGGGCTCATTACCTTATTGACACACAGGGTGGGACTAGTTTCCTCTGCAGCACATGCCTGTCTAAAGAACCTTGAATTTCCATTTCAGTCCCAAAAGAGCTACGACGAAGAGGACTACGATGGCTCCAAGCGTCTGGGTCGGAAAGCTCTCCACCTCGGGATCATTTCCTTTGTCATTGGCTTTGTGATCATCACTGCCTACACCGCTGTACACTTTACCACGGTATGAATGCAGCAGATATATAATGCAAAATTTAAAAGAAGGATAGAAAGATTTCAAGTGTCTTTTCCCTCCACAGCATGTGGTGTGACCTCTTGAGGAGGAAGAGGAGGTGGAAGTGGAGAAGAGGTGCTGGAGAGATCAGCTCCACGGGATGCAAAGCAGCTCTGCTTGGCTTCTGTCATCAACAGCTCTGGAGGTTGTGCAAGAGCTGGCAGAGACTTACTGTACTGCTGGAGACATCTTTGTTTCAGCTGTTGTGTAAATGATATCGCAAGGACACTTTTTACAGTTTTTATAAGTGTAAGGTGAAAGGAATGATTATGCACAGGACCCTACCAGCACTTCCACTGATGAAACGTGGTGCTGCTCTGTAACTAAAGACCTATAATGGACTGTGTCACATTTCTATTATATCTTATTGATTACTGTACCTATTGATAACTGATTACTGTGATTTAATATTGGCACATCGAACTGCTCTCCTTAACAAGTTGTCGGCATAAAAATGTCAAATTAAAAGTTTTATGTTAAACAAAGTTCTGCTAAGCTGACCAAACTGTGTATTTCCAACACTGACACAATCAATATTTCTGCAATATAATAACATCAAGTGCTGGTAGAAGCAATAGTATGATACAGCTACAATATGGGAACATACTCCCCAATAGTAGTGGGTGCCTTTCATGATACCCTCTCTGCTTGACCAACTGGCCACAGTTCCCACCCATCTTTGACACCTGTTGCAGTTTAATGAGTCTGAGGGATCATGTACCCTGATATGTAATATTATCACAGTTACAACGCTAAAAATAAGATCATATAATCCTCAGGCTGTGCTATGATTCAGCACACCAGTTACAGAGAAAATAAAAGTTTAATTGGCGACTTATCAAGGTATTAAGTTTAACCCCATAATCCTGGAAGCATCTGCGCTGAAAGGGTCTGATCCACCTTTTCATCTGTTATTGTTGTGGTCAGTACCTGAAAACTAGCCTGGACAAATCTGCAAGCTCATGTTTTATTTTTTGCTCTGGCAGATGCATCTCAACTTGTGGAACCTTCACGTTTTAGGGCACTGTCACACATGATAAAAGGCAACGGTGAATATTTGCCTCCTGTTCATTTCCATTCAGTATCAGCAAAGGGGCAAGTAAAACATTCTCTACTGGTGGCAAAGCAAATGTCCATCTTCGCAATGCATGGAGTTCAACTAGCTGAACTCTGAACGGCCAAGAAGCAGTCTTAACCAATAGCAAAAAGTGCACCCTGTCTCTCTGGTGGATACCCACATGTTTAATGTTTAAAACAGTCCATAAATGTATATGGTACCAGAATACTTTTGCCCAAAAACTGATGGTCACCCTTTTAGGTTGCACTGTTGAACTGCATCCATCTGTCTGGAACATGAAACAACAGGGAAAGCTCTTAGATGACTGTGGTGAAGCCCAAAAAATTTAGAAAGGATCAACTGTAAGCGTCAAGCAGAGAACGCTTCCTGCCAAACCATCAGCTGTCACCAGATGAACTTTTTTGTTTGCATTCTGGGAAAGGCTCAATACAGAGAATCAGACATTCAAAGTCTCCTTTGCTGGGGTTGTTGCTTGGAGTTGTGGCCTGAAGGTCACCACGGCAACTCAAGAACTTGAAGATGGACACCACACCACAAGCACATCTCCTTGGCTTTATTTGGGACTTGGGAACCCCCCTCTGTTAAAGCCACAGTAATCTCTCAAGACAGATTCTGCAATTTACTTTGTTTTTTTAAAGGAAGAAAAAAATAGTTGGCTTTTTTTTTTTTTTTTGTTACCGATGGATTTCCAGATTGAAGGGCCTCATTCTCTGCAGGTCTGGAGAACTGCTGACCTACACTGAGGACAGAGATGTGGAAGGAACCTGAAGGAACGACTGATCCACTCAACATGCCCTCTGTGGAGGACACAGAGCTGGAGCATATGAGGGAAGCCTTGTCCATCACGGTGGAGCACCTGCTATTTGCTCTTGCAAGGATAAGAGGGGACTGCACATCCAGTCTACATGTGCTAATGACCATAGTTTATGACCTGTCCCAATGGATGTGCTGCAGAAATACGAGCTGTGAGGTTGTTGCTGCATGCAAACTAGTAGCTGAAGTGTAAGCGGAACACACTGCAGAGATAACAGGAAGAACCAAAGGAAGTGGCTGTATGACTGTGGCCTTTATCTGGAGCAAGACGTCACAAAAAATGAATGGACTGATGGACAACATCCTTGAAAGGTTCATTTCTTTTTTTAAAAGCAAACAACATCTATAAATTGTGATTCATGTAAACAGAACATAGAGTTCTTCTCTCAGTGAGCTTGTACCCCTGCAGTATTATAACTCACAGGGAAGGTTACTTCAATGTGTAACTTTACTTTGGTTTCTTAAAAAAAACTTCTAGACTGGTTGCATTAAGTGATGAAGGCACTTGAACGCATCATGGTAGGGAATCTACGAGGTGCTGTACATCTCTTAGACCCCTACCAATCTGTGTACAAGGATGAAAATCACACCTTGAAAATCCCATCACATATGCTAGACTTTTGTTTATGGATTTTAGCTCTGCATTTACTACTATACTCCCTCAGATACTGTGAAATAAATTGATACAGATGGAGGTGAACCCCTACATAATCAGGTGGTACTTTGCATTTCTCACAGGTAGGAAGCAACAGGTGAAAGTTAACTCAACTCTCTCTGACATACAAGTGATAAATACTGGGGCTCCTCAGGGCTGCATACACTCTCCCCTTCTTTTCACACTATATACAAATGACTGCAGAATTCAGTAACCAAACAACTATATTATTAATTTCTCCAATGACACGGCCATACAGAGTCTACTGACAACAGACTCAGGTATTGCTGTATACAAGTGGGAGATAATAGAAGTTGTGCAGTGGTGTGAGGTGCATAACCTGATCCTAAATGTTAAGAAAACCTGGGAAATGGTTTATGATCCCAGGTCTGTTGGTGACCACAGCCCAGCTGTTATCAATGGAGAGAAAGCTGAGCAGGTAAGTATGTAAGTGCTTAGGCAGTGGGCTCATTATGTCGAATATATCTGTTCAAAAATTAGTCAACGCCTGCATTTTCTGCTCACTGTCCATGGAGTTGATACAAATATTGTGTTGTCTTTTAGAGTAGCCATCGAATCCATTATTCCTTAATGCATTACAACATGGTTTGGTAACCTGACTGTCAAATTTAGATCAGAGCTCCAACACCTCATTAGGAGGGCAGGAAAAACAACTGGCATGGTGCCCCCATCTTCTCTCCAGGAGATATTTGAGGAGACAGTGAGGAAACAGGGCCTATAAATCACTACTGACCCAAACCACATCCTTCATAAGGAGTGTGAGCTGATGCCTTCAGGCGGAAGGTACGGGTTACCAAACTGTAAGCTGAAGAGAGATGAAGAGTGTGTGTGTGTGTGTATATATATATGAAGGTGTGGGGGGAGTGGTGGGGGCATTGGTGCAATCACTTTGTGGAGGGCACTAATTTTGTATAGGACTGTTATGTAATACTTCAGGTAGGGCACTGTGCAATACTCTTAGGGTGTATGGATCTGGGGGGTTGATACTATATGTTACTTGTAGTTTGATTTTACATGTGTGCGGCCGTATCGCTTGTGTTCTGTTAAATGTCCAAGACAAATTACTTCTAAGAGAGATCTCATCTTAGCTTATCTTATCTTATCTTATCTTATCTAAGCTTATTTTATCTCATCTCGTCTTGTTGTCTCGTCTCGTCTTTTCTTATCTTAAACCCCACTGACCTTTGAGTTGGTTAAGTTTCTCCAGGCCAAACATTGTTCAAACAACCCAACGAACTTTATGTAAAACTCCCAGGTTTTTCAAAGAAAACAAATATGTCATCTAGGGATATTAGTAAAATGATACACAAAACAACTAGAATATGTTTTGATGGAATCATGTAGCCATCAAAAACATGGAGTCTAGTATTTAAATCACTCAGTGCAAACATTTAGTAGCTTCAATTAGGGGTTGGACGCTGATATAGAATATACTGGATGCTGTCAGACAGTGGGGAATAAGATTTTAATTTTTCAACTTGAAATCTACTTTAGTGAAAGTAAAAGTTGAAATAGATGTTAAGGGGTTAGAAGTCATCATAACACCATTATTACTAGTAATAATAACCAGATACTGTAGCTCTACTCTCCAACCCTGAGAGGAGGAAAACTGTGACCTTTCTTAACACATTAATACTGCTGACTCTTTGTTTTTATTGTTAGCGTGTACAGTTACAGGCTTTACACTTGTGAATCACATGAAACAAGAGAGCCGTGAGAACATCTCAGAGAAATCAGTGTGATATGGCACAAAGGCACACTCCCACTGAGCAGCACACATCTTAGAAGGATATACTGACTGTAACTGTCTGCTTTACAGGCCTCTCACTGTAAATCATACAAAAATACATTTAAAAAATCAGAAATCTATGAGCCCAAATACTTTAAGTTTTTTTTTATTTCAAGGGTGCATTTAAAATCACCCCAAAACATGTGGCCACAAATTATTCTGATAGAATGTCATCTAGGCTGTGACCCCTTAAAATGAAGCATTGTCTATTTGTTACACATTGTCAACAACTGCCATGTCAGCGGGTTAGGAACAAGTCCAAGCAAAAAGTAAAAGTATCTTAATCATTTTTAGAAGCCTAAAGGTGTCATATTATCCAGCACTGCACATGAAAGGATGCAAAGATTAGAGGTGTTAAAGGTGGAGACAGTGATTCTGGAGAAAGATGTTGATAGCTGAACTTAACACCTAAACAAATACACCTCTGCCATCAGTGCTCCTTCGGAAGCTCTGTTTTAACTGCCCCTCATCCATGGCCTTTCTCCTATCCCGTCTACTAGCACTAGTCTGAGTGGGTGGAAGTTCGCTGCATAGATCAGCCTCTCATTGGGCAGAACGAGCCACCTGCTGAAGTCCCGCCCTCAGGGCGTAAAATTAACACCCGCCAAGCGCCAATGGCGGGTAAAAAATGAGTTTGGCGTGTAAAACAAAAACACACACCCGCCAGTGGTTGATTGAAAATTTTGAATTGCATGTGGGTTTTTTATGTGCTTCGACCATTTCTGCCAGCTGTGTCCAGGGACAGTTTTTGCTATGGGCAATGTGAGCGACCGCCCAGGGCGCAATCTATGTGCAAAAAAACCAAAAAACTCATGGAGTGGGGGTTGGGGGTTGGGTGGGGGTTGCCCCTATTATCACGTTTCAACCAGCAGCAGAAAGGAAAGGCGATTCCTGGCGGTTGTGGGTTGAATGGGGGTCACAGACAGGAATACGGTGGAGGCTCATAGTGCTCTGCGGCACAAGATAACGGCTTACCGGCGACAGAGAAGTCCGACTCCAGGTCCAGTAAGTTCCTCTTTCGTTGGTGTCATGACTGCCCAGTAGTACCTGGACAACCGAGCCGTGGCGGCACACAGGTATGTGACGTGTCAGAGGAGAAACGAGCCGTTCACATTTCCACAAACCTCACCGCACTTTAG